TCTCAGTGGAGAGCTGCCATGGATGCAGAGATGGCCTCCTACAGATCCACAGGCACCTACGTCGATGAGGTTCCCCCCCCTGGGGCGAACGTAGTCGACGGCATGTGGATCTACAGGGTGAAGCGGCCACCGGGATCTCCCCCGGTCTTCAAGGCGCGCTACGTGGCTAGAGGTTTCAGTCAGCGCGAGGGAGTTGACTTCTTTCAGACCTTCGCACCTACCCCGAAGATGACCACTCTTCGGGTGTTACTACACGTAGCAGCACAGAGAGACTACGAGTTACACTCTCTCGACTTCTCCACTGCTTTCCTTCAGGGCAGCCTACACGAGGAGGTCTGGTTACGTCGTCCCTCGGCCTTCACTGGCACTTTCCCTCCTGGGACCCAGTGGAGGCTGAGGCGACCTGTTTACGGTCTTCCCCAGGCCCCTCGTGAGTGGCACGACACTCTGCGTTCTACCCTCTCTGACCTTGGGTTCCAGCCGTCTTCTGCCGACCCGTCGCTGTTCGTTCGTCGTGGCTCCACACCGTTCTTTGTCCTGGTCTACGTCGACGACCTCGTTTTCGCCACTCCGGACAGGGTTGCTTTGGCAGACGTGAAGTCCGAACTGCAGAAGAGACACACGTGCACTGATCTTGGTGAGCTGCGCCACTACCTTGGCCTGCAGATCACCAGGGACAGAGCCGCTCGCACCATTACACTCTCACAGTCACACATGGTGCAGCAGGTCCTTCAGCGGTTCGGGCTTCAGCACTCCACCGTACAGCGCACACCTCTCGCTGTTGACCACAGACTCACTGGTCCCTTTCCTGACGAGCCGTTTGAGCCTAGTGGTCCCTACACAGAGCTTGTGGGTTGCCTCATGTACCTGATGACTTGTACTCGCCCGGACCTCGCCTTCCCTCTCAGCATCCTTGCGCGCTTTGTTGCGCCAGGGAGACACCGTCCTGTTCACTGGACGGCAGCTGTGAGGGTGGCGAAGTACCTAGCGACTACATCAGGCGTGGGGCTAGTTCTTGGAGGGCAGCAGTCTGTCGTACTCACTGGTCACTGTGACTCCTCTTACGCTGACGACGCTGAGACTCACAGGTCTACTCAGGGGTACTGTTTCAGTCTGGGTTCTGGAGCTGTTTCCTGGCGTTCCACGCGCTCCTCTTCTGTCTCGACCTCTACAGCTGAGGCTGAGATTTACGCTGGTGCCATGGCGGCACAGGAGTTGCGGTGGTTGACCTTCTTGCTCGCCGACCTTGGTGAGCGGCCGAGCTCTGCACCGACCTTGTTTACTGACAACAAGGCGTCAATCCTCCTCTGTCGTGAGCCGCGACTGGAGAGCAGAGTGAAGCACATTCACGTCAGGTACTTTCTTCTGCGAGAGTTGCAGAGACGTGGACAGGCTCGCTTCGAGTTCGTGGAGTCCGAGGCCAACACTGCAGACATCTTCACCAAGGCGCTTCCGCCTTGTGACCACCAGAGGTGTTGTGTGCAGTTAGGCCTTGTTGACACAGGTTCTAGTCATGTGTAGACTTGAGTTTATTGCCTGCTTCGTCTGTACACTTGCTATATATACTTGTGATCTCTTGGACTGGCCTTGTGGCCACTGTTGCTTGTGCTCAGAGTGTGTGGTGACGTTGTGATCCACCCTGAGCTTTGTTTTCTTTTGGACTGGTCTTGTGACCGTACTCTTTTTGATTTTGCTAGACACCCCTCACTTAGGCTATGGGGGTGTGTCAAATGTTGTAGCCTGTAGTGAGGTTTGTCTTAGGGTGTACAGAAGTTAGGGTTTGTTATATGTACCCCAACCAACATCAATGGAACCATTCATTCCTCATTTTGACAGCTGTTACACTGCTGAGGGGCCCGGCCTTGGAGTGGTGGCGCCAACTCACTCAAACTGCTGTAAGAAGGGCTCAGACGGACGGGCATCAACAGGGCGTGGGGCATGCAGCTGCAACTTCGAGCTTAGGGAGTTTAGCTTTGGGTGTTACCACGGTTCCGACCACATGGGAAGGATTTGAAGCGGCGCTGAAAAGTAGGTTCGATTTGGTGAACGCCTCCGAAGCTGCTAGGAAGCGTCTGCGTCATTTCCGACAGATAGGCAACGTCCAGGAGTACACACGACGGTTCTTGAGCATCTGCAACGAGATAGACGATATCACGGAAGCAGAGATGCGCGATCGCTACCTCGAAGGGTTGAAGCCGGACATAGCGGAAGTCATTGCGATTCATGGGTTGTCCACCTTCGAGTCGGTAGTCGCAGCAGCAGAACGCGTCGACGCAGTACGAAGCCGACGGGGTCGTGACGATCGCGATAGGGGATAGAACAGACCGATCAACGACGCTCGATCGAGGGACGGACCATCGCCCATGGAGATTGGTGCAGTTAACAGTGACGGCTCACAGAAAATGGGATTTAGGGGGAACTGTCACTACTGCAAAAAGCCGGGACACATGAAGCGAGACTGCCCACAGCTTAAGGAGCGGCAGCAGGGAAACGGAAACCGCCAGTAGATAGCGGGTCGCTAGCTGGTGTGGAGGTTCCCGTACCCGCCACGTCTACCAACGTAGAGGAGACGGCTTCGCAGCAGTCATCTACGGAGAACGAGGTAGACACTGTTGATCGTCCAGTCGTGCTTCTAGGGAAGCTTCGCGGAGTTCCTGTTAAGATTCTCGTAGATAGCGGAGCTAGCCACTCGTTCGTCTCTTCATCGTTAGTTTCTCGTCTCCATCTCGAAGCAGATTCAGCAGTCAACTTCAAGGACGCTCGCATGGTAGATGGGACGCCACTTCACATAGGACCGATCATCCGCAAGTTGCGCGTAGTGCTAGGACCGATCACAGTCAGGCGTGATTTTGACTCTGCGACGCTGGACGGATACGATTTTATCTTCGGGAGAGATTGGCTACGGACGGTTAGTACTCAGTTCGATTGGGCTCAGGGAAGCTGCAGCGTCAAGGTAGACGGGGAGTTCCGGGAGCTGCCACAGTGGAGCGATGGGGCCACATCATCCACAGCTATCATTAATGCTGCTCGTGTGCGACAGTTAGTGAAGCGTGCGGCACGGATCTTCGCGGTTTTTCTTGAGGAGGTGGAAGCTGAGGAGGGGAAAGGAGGGAGTGCAGCAGTTAGTGAGAAGGCGACTCTTCCTGCTGAGGTGAGTGCACTGTTAGCAGAGTTCGCAGACGTCTTCCCCGACGAGTTGCCCCCAGGGTTGCCTCCCAGCCGAGCAGTAGACCATCGAATAGAATTGGAGCCGGGGAGCAGGCCAGTAGCGAAGCCGCAGTGGAGGTTGAGTCCAGCGGAGACAGAGGAGATGACGCAGCAAGTTAGGCACTTTCTTGCACAGGGTTTCATACAGCCATCTAGATCGCCTTGGGCCGCACCGATACTTTTCGCACCCAAGAAAGACGGAGGGTTACGGATGTGCATAGATTACCGCGCACTGAACGCCGCCACCGTCAAGAATAGATTCCCGGTGCCGAGAGTAGAGGATCTTCTCGATGCAGTGCAGGGCGCTAGAGTCTTCTCAAAGATCGACCTTCGTTCGGGTTACCACCAGATTCGAGTAGTTCCAGAGGACCAGCACAAGACGGCGTTTCGTACGAAGCAGGGGTTGTACGAGTTTAGGGTTCTACCGTTCGGATTGACCAACGCCCCAGCGACGTTTCAGACGCTCATGAACACAGTCCTCTCCGAGTTCCTAGGGTCGTTCGTTGTCGTTTACCTAGACGACATCCTAGTGTTCTCTAAGACGAAAGATGAGCACGTGCAGCACTTGCAGAAGGTCTTCGAGGTCTTACGGAGGGAGCAGTTATACGCTAAGCAGTCGAAGTGCGAGTTCTTCCTTCCAGAGGTCGAGTTCCTAGGACACGTCGTATCCGCTAGTGGCATTAGGACTGACCCGAAGAAGATCGCAGCAGTACAGGATTGGGTAGCACCGACCTCAGTCAAGGAGTTGCAGAGCTTCCTCGGTTTCGCGAACTACTACCGTCGTTTCGTTCAGGTTTACGCATCGATCGCTAGTCCACTCACCGACCTACTTCGGAAGGGCGTAGAGTACGTTTGGGGTCCAGCGCAGCAGCAGGCGTTCGAGCAGATGAAGCAGTCGCTCACGTCCTCACCGACACTGTCGTACCCTGATCCCACTCGCCCATACGTTGTAGTGACCGATGCTTCCGATCAGGCCATAGGAGCAGTGCTTCTTCAGGACCAGGGACGCGGGTTGCAGCCGATCGCGTACGAGTCGCGTAAGCTTAGGGGAGCGGAGTTGAACTATCCCATACACGACAAGGAGGCGCTCGCGATCATCCATGCGTATAAGGTGTGGAGGTGCTACCTAGAGGGGGCAGATAGTGTTATACGCACGGACCACTGTTCGCTTCGTTTCCTCAAGTCGCAGCCGCAGCTGAGTCGTCGCCAGGCTAGGTGGATGGAGTTCATGGAAGGGAGCTTTCACTACAGGATAGAGTACAAGCCAGGCGTGCGCAACCCAGCAGATCCGCTCACTCGCCCTAGTTGTCAGCTCGCCAGTCTCACAGTCACTGCTGGCCACCCACTTCTCACAGCACTCTTCGAGCACGGTTACACAGTAGATCCCGACTTCACACCGCAGCCGCCCGCAGGAGCAGAGGTGCAGGGTAGTGTCTACATACGGAAGGGTACCACACGGATTTGGGTTCCAGCCTACCGCCCTCTTCGACAGCTCCTTCTCTCAGAGGCGCACGACGTAGTTAGTGCAGGGCACTTCGGAGCAGATAAGACGGCTAAGACGCTTAGTCGCACGTACTACTGGCCCGGGCTTGCAGCAGACTTAGAGGATTACATTCGCTCGTGCGACACGTGTCAGCGTACGAAGTCCTCTCGCCAGCGCAAAGCAGGACTCTTGCAGCCGATTCCACCGCCCGACCGCCCTTGGCAGGTAGTTACCATGGACTTCATCATTCGTCATTGAGCGCGCACTAGGTCCAGTCGCATACCGCCTTCGCCTTCCCGCACATTTCCGCATGCACCCGTCATTCCACGTGTCTCTCCTTCGCCCATACACCGATCCCAATGCCACCTTCTCGGGCCGTGATCGCACTCCACTGCCGGTAGCTGTTGACACCGACGAGCCCGACTACCAGATCCAGCGCATCCTCAGGCACCGTCGCCGTCTCCAGGGGGGTGTCACTTTCATCGACTTCTTGGTTCGTTGGCGTGGTTACGACGCAGCAGACGACAGCTGGGTTCCTTCGTCCTCGCTGTCTCCTGACAACGCTTGCCTCCAAGCGTACCTTCAGTCTGCAGGCGCCGCGGACGTCGCCTCCTTGGGCGGGGGGTAGTGTTAGAGGGGTGTTTACTGTTCATTCCGAACAGTACATTTCTAGTCACCATTATCCTTATCTTCTCAGATTCTCTAGTGCCACGTGGCACTCTACTTTTCTTGCACTCCAATTCTTGGTCCCACATTCCACTTTCCAACCTTGTTTCTTGCATGCTATATAAACCTTGCTTGTACTTGCCATTATCAATCAATTCTCATTCAACTCTTCTTCAATTACTCAGTAACTTCTTCGCCTATTTCGCCAATAGTTCTTTCGCCAAAGTCTTCCGCCGCGTTTCATCCTCGACTTAGTCGACCCCGCTAATTCTTTAGCGGACTTAGGCCGTCGGGCCTAACATCCGATCACTCAGCAGCGGGAAGGTTCTATTTGCTACACCGCACTTGAAAATACGGTGTGCTGGTTTCGATCACTCCATTGTTGTGACCTTCGGTTGACAGGCCCTTTCGTGCGGATTTTAACCGCAACCGTCACTTTTCATGCCACGCGTCACAATCGTGACCTGGTGCGCCGTGGGATTGGCCATCTACCGTGGACGGATCTATCCAGACCAGCCTGGCTGCTGAGAGCTCAAAGTAAACCACCTTGGGCTCTCATTTTCGCTCAATCTGCAACCTCCGCTTCCAAACCTCAACCCTAGCTGCTACTCCAGCTCGAAAGCTACCACTCCACACAGCAGCCATGGCTTTCGCTGTCAGCAGCCAGAAGGTACAGCGTGCTGTTTCTAGGTTAAATAAAGCTTTTCTAGTTTCTTCACGTACTGACGCCGTTTTCGCTTCGTCCTGCAGACCATTGCCACCTTCACCGGCTTGAGAGCCGCCCCCGCGAAGGTTGCCGTCGCCAAGTCCGTGGTTTCCTTCACCCCCCGGGCGCAGAGGCTTTCCATCTCCTGCGCTGTACGTCTTTCCCCATTTTCATTCCCTACGTGCCTTGCCGCCCAGGCCCCGTTGTTCTGGATGCACGCGTTGATATGCGCGAACGGGCCATTGTCTGTTCTCGTCCGATCCCTTGATTGACCGTCGACCCTTTGTTGGTACAGGCGTCCCCAGACACCCTGACCAAGGTGCGGGGCATCATCGCGCAGCAGCTGGCTGTTGAGGTGGAGAAGATCACCGCCGATGCCAAGTTCGTCGACCTCGGCGCCGACTCCCTCGACACCGTGAGTGCTCGCCATTCCTTTAGGCGTTGGCCCCCCCGCAACTTGCGTGGACCGTGTGGTTGGTGCTTTTGTGTTGGGTGTTGTTGAGAGCGTGGATTCGCCCTTGTGCTGGCAGGTGGAGATCATGATGGCGCTGGAGGAGCAGTTCGACATCACCCTCGACGAGGAGGGTGCTGAGAAGATCTCCACCGTTCAGGAGGCCGCCGATCTCATTGAGGAGCAGGTTGCCAAGGCTTAAGCCGTCCTGGTATTACTCCAGGGCTTTTTTGTTGCCTGACTGCTGTCATTCACTATGATATGTTAAAAAACCTAGAAATAAACCCAAATACAACTTCCAGCCACTCGAGTATCACAACATGCATTCAGTGGTCCAACCCGAGGACGGTGTTAAATCCCCCATACAGACACCTCACCTGGGGCGGCCCTGCCCGTCCCCTCAAGCTCAGTGAGGACTGCTTATTGCTAGTATGCGCTTGCATTGTAGGTGCATACTCTACTTCAACAAAAATGAATGTACACAGCAGTAGTTGCTTATTAGATGACGGCAACTGACTCTACAACTTGAAGCCTGTAAACAGTGCCACAACACCCCCTGTCATGTTCTCATATGACACATTTCTGAATCCTGCTTGCTCCATCATGTGAATGAATCTCCTCTGATGGGGAGACGGGGAAACGAGAAATGGACACTTGTCAGTACAGGTTGTGTGAGTCTGCAACGATGAAGGTGTACCTTTCTTCAAAGGAGACAATACCTGGGTTGGAAACTTGCGAATGCTCTCCACGAGGTACTGATACGACTCCCTGTCCCCAGTGACTGCCTGGCCCATGGCTGGAATGACATTGAAGGAGTACATGTCGTAGCTGGGGGGAAAGGGAAGGAAATTTGGGGAATTGAGGCAGAGGAGGGTGGGTCACACAACTTAATGTAAACCCCAATGATGAAGGTGGCAGTAATAAATGTGGGAAGAATGGATCTTGATTCTTGAACCGTTCATTGGCACAACTCACAGTGCCTTGAAGAGAGGGTCCTCCACGTGGCTGAGCTCCAGGCATGCAAACTGGCCTCCCTTGCGCAGCACCCTGTGCACTCACATGCATGGGAGGGAGGGGGTTGCAGGGCACAGAGAGAAGTGGGAGCACAGACGCAAGGGCAAGGTGAGAGGCACATGCAGACAGCACGGCAGGGGAGGCGAGGGCATGGCAGGAAGCGGAGGTGGTGGGTGGTGTGGTGTGACCTGTGGGCCTCTGCAAGGGCGCGGTGGATGCGCGTGACGTTGCGGATGCCGAAGGCGATGGAGTAGGCGTCCACACTGCCATCCGCCAGCACCGCACTCATGTCCTCCGCATCGCCCTGCACCCACTCCAGCGCCGCGTCCAATGCCAAGCCTGGGACGACGGGAGGGGGTTGTGGTGGTGTGGAGAGGGTAGGGGACGTCCACAGGCACAAGATTTTGGGTGCGGAAAGGTGGTGGCAGGGGGAAAACAAGCACATGGAAATGAGAAGGGGGTGACCTGTGCTGAGGCTCATGCAATGGCTGGTGGACTCCTCGCCCTTAGCCTCTGTGCTTAGCACCTTGCTGCTGCGCCCTGAGCTGCCCCACGCGCAGCATGTCCGCATTGATGTCACACACTATCACCCGCGCCCCCCTCCCTGCCTCGCCCCACCCCTCCCCGCTGCTCCTCCCTGTGCCTGCAGCCGCCATGCGCCGTGGATCCGCCTCCGCCTCACGAATGGCCCTCAGCACTCGGAACGCAATGTCGCCTGGGGGGGGGAAGAAGGAACCATGGACGAAGGTGGCAGCAGTGACTCTGAGGGGGGTGTGTATGGAGGGCAGTGATGGGCACGAGCATACATGAAGCGATGCCCACACGGCACACACTCAACACAGGCAACCAGCACATCATGTCCCAGCATCACATCACATCACATCACATCACATCACATCACATCACATCACATCACATCACATCACATCACATCACATCACATCACATCACATCACATCACATCACATCACATCACATCACATCACATCACATCACAGCACAGCACAGCACAGCACAGCACAGCACAGCACAGCACAGCACAGCACAGCACAGCACAGCACCGCACAGCACAGCACAGCACAGCACAGCACAGTACAGCACCGCACAGCACAGCACAGCACAGCACAGCACAGCACAGCACAGCACAGCACAGCACAGCACCGCACAGCACAGTACAGCACAGCACAGCACCGCACAGCACAGCACAGCACAGCACAGCACAGCACAGCACCGCACAGCACAGCACAGCACAGCACCGCACAGCACAGCACAGCACAGCACAGCACCGCACAGCACAGCACCGCACAGCACAGCACAGCACAGCACAGCACAGCACCGCACAGCACAGCACCGCACAGCACAGCACCGCACAGCACCGCACAGCACAGTACAGCGAGATACAGATCCCATCAAATCGACCCACAGCACAGCATCACATGCCCCCATGTCCCATTGCCCGCATGCCCCAAGGTCCCCATCCCCCATAACCCCGTGCCCCCATGCCCCATTGCCCCCATGCCCCAATGCCCCCATCCCCCATGCCCCAATGCCCCCATCCCCAATGCCCCCATCCTCCATGCCCCAATGCCCCCATCCCCAATGCCCCCACTCCACCATGCCACCATGCCCACCTGTGCCGCCCGCCACGTCGAGGTGGTGCATGTGGGGGAAGGGGTGCAGCGCTCGCACCAGCCTGGGGCACAGGGGACGCAGGGGGGCGATGAGAGTGGGGAGGGACGGCAGGCGGAGAGGGGGGACTTGGAAGAGAAAGGCAGGGATGTGCGGGAACGAGTGTCACGGCGTGGCATGCGGGGCGCACCTGTCCTTCCACAGACGGTGCAGGCCCCCGCTCATGACGTCATTCATGACGTCATACTTGTCCGCCACCGACGAAAACACTCCTCCCACCAGCTCCGCCTTCTCCTCCTCGCGCACCGCCCGGTACCCTGCCGCGCCCCGCCATGCGCCATGCGGATGTGGAATGCGCGTCGGATTACACAAGGTTAGCGGCAATAATGTGCGGAATGAGACGAGGGAGAGCCACGGCGGGGCACGGCGGAGATCGGCGCAAGTGGCCTACCGAAGTGGGTGGTGGCGGATCCGCTCCGCTCGCCGCCCTCGCCCGCAGTTTTCCCCTCCATCCCCCCTGCCTGCGCCCACGCCCCGCTGCCCGACGACCCCAGCGCTTCCCCCCCGGCGGAGTAAGCACGGCACCCTGAGGGGGAAACAGCGTCATCCGCGTAAAATTGGACAGCGGAGGGAAGGGGGTGGCAATTCGGTGCAGCGTCGAGGGGTGATGCGGAAGTTGGAAAGCGCGGGGCGAACGGGGATACGAGGCGAGCGGAGACGAGGCGGCGGGCGGAAGAGGCAAAAGCCCTCCGCGCACCGATGGCCATGGGGGGCAGGGAGGTGATGAGGAAGTGGAGGGAGAAGGAATTAGGAAAGGCGGTTTTGGAAGGGGTTGGAAGAAATGGCGTGAAGAGGACGATTTACACAGAGGAGTGCGGCCACCCCGCACACAAATTCCACCCCGCTGCTCCCACCCTCACGCTACGCACACGCCGCCCTCGCTTGGTCTCCCACTCCCGCCCCTCGCCGCTCCTTGCTCTCTTGCGCTCCACATTTCCTGCTTTCTGCGAGCGTCGTCCAGAAGAGTTTTGACTCGACGTGGGCTGCGAGCATGGCGGCGCCCGCAGAGCGGCGCGCGGAGAAGCGGGTTCCGCGGTGCATCAAGTGCCGCGCGGCGGACGCGGCGGCGCTGGTGAATCAGACGGAGGCGTTGTGCGCGGGCTGTCTGCGCGGCGCGCTGCTGGGGAAGTTCAAGTCGGCCGTGAATGGCGGCAAGCTCGTCGCGAAGGACGATCACGTGCTGCTCGCCTTCTCGGGCGGCGCCGCCTCCAGGTGACGCGCTCTGGAACCCCGCATGCACTCCCCTCGCCGGTCTTTCCCCGGCCGCCCTCCCATGTTTTTAACTTTGATGAAAGCTCCATCCAATCTTGTTTTGATCTGATCGAATCCAATTTGATGGAATCGGTGCAGGTGCGCGCTCGACTTTCTCCTCGCCATACAGTCACCCCTCCTTCACTCACAAGGCGCCGCACCGCTCGGCGCGCAAGGGGCGGCGGCGAGGGGGCGCATTCCGTTCCGCCTCTCCGTTGCTTACGTGGACGAGCGCGTGGCGGTGGGGAATGACCTTCTGCCACGTGGCACTGCTGACAGGCTGGCATGCGAGTTGCGGGAGATCGTGAGCGACGCTGTGGCGGCGCACAGGGGCGCACGTGACTGCAGCGGGGGCGACTGCGGGGAGGGCGGAGGGCGAGGGGCGGCGAGGGAGGGAGGGGCGGGGTCGGAGAATGGGGGGGGACACGGAGTGGCATTCCACGTGGTGCGCCTGGAGAGCGCGCTCGCGGATGGGGGGAGTGCGCCCGCGGATGGGGGGAGTGCGCCCGCGGATGGGGGGAGTGCGCCCGCGGATGGGGGGGGTGCGCCAATGGAGGGCGACGGGGGGGATGGGGAGAGCAGGGCGGAGGGGTTGGCATCACGGCTGGCGGTGGTGGTGGGGGGGGCGGCGGAGGGCACGGGCAGGGAGGACGTGGTGGGGGCTCTGCGCCTGGATGCGCTGATGCTGGTGAGAGGGGGGGGGGGGCTGGGAGGGGAGGGGGCAGGGATGCAGCATGTGTGCACGTGAGTCGTAAGGCATGGTGGAGTGTGCACACATGCATGCATGCATGAAGTGCCCTTGTGGTGAGTGGCGCTCTAAGCTTGTGGTGAGTGGCGCTCTAAGCTTGTGGTGAGTGGCGCTCTAAGCTTGTGGTGAGTGGCGCTCTAAGCTTCTGCCTCGCCCCCCTCCCGTGCCGCTCATCTCTCCCCCCTCAGTTGGCGCAGCGGCTGCGGTGCAGCAAGGTGGTGGTGGGCAGCACGGCCTCTCGCCTCGCAGCCCATACCATCGCCGCCACCGCCAAGGTGAGCAGGAGGGACGAGGGTGGAGGGTGGAGGGTGGAGGGTGGAGGGAGGAGGGTGGAGGGTGGAGGGTGGAGGGTGGAGGTTGGAGGGTGGAGGAAGGAGGGAGGAGGGTGGAGGGTGGAGGGTGGAGGGTGGAGATTGGAGGGTGGAGGGTGGAGGGTGGAGGGAGGAGGGTGGAGTGTGGAGGGAGGAGGGAGGAGGGTGGAGGGTGGAGGGTGGAGGGAGGAGGGTGGAGGGTGGAGGGAGGAGGGAGGAGGGTGGAGGGAGGAGGGTGGAGGGTGGAGGGAGGAGGGTTTGGGCAGTTCTCGCTTATTGCATGTCATGGCTATCGCTCATTGCGTGTCATGGCCCTCGTTTGCCCTCATGGCCCTCGTTTGCCCTCATGGCCCTCGTTTGCCCTCATGGCCCTCGTTTGCCCTCATGGCCCTCGTTTGCCCACTCCCTTTCACGCCATCCACTCCTCCCCTCCCCCCTCCCCCCCATCCCCCCAACCAGGCGCAGGGCTTCGCGCTACCAGCGGACCTGGCGGTGTGGGACGCACGGAGGGGAGTGCCGGTGGTGCGGCCGCTGCGCGACTGCTCTCTGCGCGACCTCGCCCTCCTCGCCCACCTCCACTGCCTCCGCACCGCCTTCGCCCCCTCCCTCGCCACGCGTGCCTCCCTGCGGGGGGGCGCAGGGAGCGGGGCCACAGGGGGGGCGGAGAGCATCAATGCGCTGGCGGCGTGGTTCCTGGAGGGGCTGCAGAGGGAGAGCAGCGGGCGCCAGTTCACCGTCACTCGCACCGCCCTCAAACTGCAACCCTTCCCCTTCAACCTCCCCCCCCTCCCTCGCACCCCCCTCCCCCACGGCTGCTGACTCCCCTCCTCCGCCCCTCTGCGCCATCTGCCTCGCCCCCCTCCCCCCGTCTGCTCTCGCCCCCCCACTCCCGCCTGACCCCCCTGCTTCTGGTGTTGCCACAGCAGCCGCCGCCCCTTCCCTGCCCCACTCCCCTTCGTCCTCCCCCCTCTGCTGCAGCTGCCGCTGGGGAGTGGTGGGAGCAGGGGAAGCCACGCGGATGGGAGGAAAAAGGGGAACAGGTGGAGCAGAAAGGGGAAGGGAGAACGGGGAGGGTGGACGGGGGGAGGTGGAGGGAGGGGGAGGGGGAGCAGGTGCGGGTGGAGCAGGGGGGGTGGCAGGGCTGCCAGAGGCGTTTCTGGCGCGGGGCAGGGCGGGCAGTGCGAGCTATTCTCACTGGCTCAGGCAATGCGAGAGGTACGGGGGAGGCGGAGGCGAGTCACTTTGCTTCTCCCAGCAATTTGTTCCCCAATAATGCTGTAGTCCCTCTTGCCTTGTAACTCGTTATGCATACCCCTCTTGAACAGTCATCCATACTCCTCATCACTCGTACCCGCGTGTCGTGTCCTCCCTTGCAGGAGCATGATTGCAGACTGCCTGCTGGAGGGCGACTGACGCACATGTGCTGCCGTGCATGCATGCACCCACGCTGCCTGCGAGGTGGGGGGGGGGGAAAGAGGGTGACGAGTCAGGGTGACCCATGCTGTTCACTCTCCCATACCACTCTGCTCACCCAGCAATTCTTCCCCTTCCCCGCTTACCTCCTCTCTACTTCCCACTCGTTATGCATGCTCACTTGCTTACGCTTGAGCAGTCAACCTTGTTTCTCATCGCATCGCTCATGCGTGTGTGTGCCTTGACCCACCATGCTTGTGTGGGCCTTGACCCACCATGCGTGTGTGGGCCTTGACCCACCATGCAGGGGCATGATCGCAGACTGCCTGCTGGAAGGTGACTGACGCACATGCACTGCCATGCATGCATGCATGCACCCACGCTCCCTGCTGCATTTCTGTAGGTCATGGTACAGAGGCATGCCTTCTCGTTAAACACTTGTCAGCACGTGCTCTTTGCTGACAAATCTACCGGTAGTACATGCCCTGCCCTCTGCTCAAATGTAACTTTTGTGAGAGTGAAGTATTCAAATACAATCATCGGTGTCACATCTGTTCAATCCAGAGCATGAAAACACACACGGGGCAGCTCATGGAGCTACCTGACCTCACCAGCTTCCTATCACCGCCACCAGAAGAGTTGTGGAAAGCCTGTGTGACCTGTGCCCCATGTGGAAAGCCTGTGTGACCTGTGCCCCATGTGGAAAGCCTGTGTGACCTGTGCCCCATGTGGAAAGCCTGTGTGACCTGTGCCCCATGTGGAAAGCCTGTGTGACCTGTGCCCCATGTGGAAAGCCTGTGTGACCTGTGCCCCATGTGGAAAGCCTGTGTGACCTGTGCCCCATGTGGAAAGCCTGTGTGACCTGTGCCCCATGTGGAAAGCCTGTGTGACCTGTGCCCCATGTGGAAAGCCTGTGTGACCTGTGCCCCATGTGGAAAGCCTGTGTGACCTGTGCCCCATGTGGAAAGCCTGTGTGACCTGTGCCCCATGTGGAAAGCCTGTGTGACCTGTGCCCCATGTGGAAAGCCTGTGTGACCTGTGCCCCATGTGGAAAGCCTGTGTGACCTGTGCCCCATGTGGAAAGCCTGTGTGACCTGTGCCCCATGTGGAAAGCCTGTGTGACCTGTGCCCCATGTGGAAAGCCTGTGTGACCTGTGCCCCATGTGGAAAGCCTGTGTGACCTGTGCCCCATGTGGAAAGCCTGTGTGACCTGTGCCCCATGTGGAAAGCCTGTGTGACCTGTGCCCCATGTGGAAAGCCTGTGTGACCTGTGCCCCATGTGGAAAGCCTGTGTGACCTGTGCCCCATGTGGAAGCAGCAGGTGAGGCGAGGGTAGGCTCAGGTGCACGTGTATGCCACGTGCTACACCACACCACATGCTGCCATGGGCTCTCCTGTCTGGACCTGGGGCGGGGCCCTGCCCTTCCCTCCAAGCTCAAGCCAACAGTCTCATTTCCAAAAGCGCTACGCTACGTGGCACAACGCCTTGCAGCATATTGTCACGTGCCCCTGTGCCACAGGCTGCCCCAAAGCCGTTAGCTGCCGATGCAGCACCAGTTGGTGCCTCCTGGCTGGTTGGGCACTTGGAAGGCATCTAGGTGTGTGTGGCGGAAATGTGTGGGGTACAAGGCATCCTGCCAGGCTGTCCAACATTGGAGTGACACGGTGCGCGTGTCAGACAGCTCCTTGCTGCTGGAGCTCATCCACCCACAAATACTATCAACAATCTCTACCCCTCCTTCACTACCTTCCCCTCGAGCCTTCCCCTCTATCCTACTTCATCTCCTCCCTTTACCTCTAGCCTTCCCCTTCCCCCCTCTGCCCCGCTTCACCCCGGCATCCCCCCTAACAGCGTCCAGCAGCAGTGCAGCTGGCCCCGGCAGCCCCCCCTGAAGGCGCGCCGCCATCTGCAGGCTGCCCACCACCCGCCGTGCCTCCTCCCCTTCCTCCGCTTCCTTCCCCTCTCCTGCTGCTGCTGCACCCGCCCCTGCCCGGCCTGCTCTGCTGTTGCCCTTGGGGCGCTGAGGGGAGGGAGGGGCGGGGGGAGGGGAGAGGCGCACGGGGAGGGGGTTGGGGGGCGTGTGAGAGCGATTGTGGGCAGTGCGATGGGCATGAGGGCCAAAGAGGCATGTGGCTGTGGAGGCAGGCACGGCAGGCATGCACTGTTTGCTGGTAGCAAGGCATGCCATACCACGTACCTGGGTGTGCGGCGGCAGGGGCAGCGAGGAGGACGGCACATGGGTGGGGGCGAGCTGCGCGGCCATGGCCTTGGAGTAGAGTGAGTAGAAGTCCTCCTCTCCCGCCCCCCTTCCCCCACCCCCTCCCCTGCTGCTGCCTTCCCCCACCCCTCGCTTCCCACTTCCTTTTCTCCCTTCCTCTTCCTCCACCTCCACCACTTTCCCCTTGCCCTTATCTCTTCTCTTCATCTCCCCTTCCTCCCCCCTCCTCGCCTCCCCATTCTGCTTCCCCCGCTGCCCGCCTCCCCCGCCAAAGAAGCCCCGGCGCAGTCCTGTTGCCGCGCCCCCCCTGCCTGCCGCCCCACTGCCCTCACCCGGCCCACTGCCCTCACCCGGCCCACTGCCCTCACCCGGCCCACTCTCACCCCTGCCTGCACCCCGGCCTGCACCCCTGCCTGCACCTCCACTGCCCCTGCCACCACCGCCCAGCACCAATGGCCCCGAGATAGGCCCCTTGCTCTCACCCTCCTCCTCCTCCTGCTCCTCGCCCTCGCCCCCCTGGCTGCCCGCGTCACTGACATCCTCCCAGTCGCTGTCACTGCCCGGCTCTGATGCCACTCACACGTAGGGGGGGGACGGCACACGTGAGGGGGAAATGCTCAATCAAGGCTGTCAACACATGTGTAGCATGGGCTGTCAACACATGTGTAGCATAGGCTTTCATGGGCTTTCATGGGCTACGTGCAACCTCAGCCGGTTACAAGTTTCCTCACACTCACTCCCAATCAACGATCTGGTCAAGTTCCCAGCGCATACTTCTCCTTCCCCTCACCAGCCCCATTCGTGTGTATGAGCAGCCGAGTACCTGTGCCACAACATCAAATGCAACTTCTCACTCACACAATCACGTACGAGGGGCAGGGAAGCACAGGGCAGGGAGGGGGCGGGGGGCGACCTGAGAAGAAGGCGGACTCGCTGGCGTCGTCCTCGTCGCCCTCCGAGCTGCCATCGCCTCGGAACCCCTTCACCTCCTCCTCGCTGTACCGCTCCATCACCCCCTCCAACTCCTCCATAAACCTCTCAAACTCCCTCAGCTTCTCCCGCCCCATCACCACCTCCCCGCCATCCTCGTCACCATCCTCCTCCTCTTCCTGCAATCCCACACCACCCTCCACACTCACCCGCTGCACTTCCTCCCTCTCCTCTTGCTCCTCCTCATCACTCTCACCACTCTCCTCCCCTTCGTTCCACCCCCCGCCACCACTCTCCTCCTCCTCACCACTCCCCCCTCTCCCACTCTCGCCCCCCTCACTCTCGCCCCCCTCACCCTCGCCCCCATCACTGCCATCACCACCCCCCTCGGCCTCCACGCCCTCAAACCCAGAAACGCCAGACATGAATCGCTTCAGTCGCTCCAACAACTGTCCCGCCTCCTCCTCTCCCTGCACCTCCTCTCCCTCCCTCCTCCCCGCCTTGCCAATCTTCCCTTCCCTCCTCCTTCCCCCCACCCCAGCTCCCTCCTTTTCACGCCCCCCCTTGCGCCTGCTCCCCCCCCGCCCCTCTGCCTGCTGGTTGCCCAGGCGCGCCTCCATGGCTCGCACGGCGTCGCCCATCCACCGCTCGCTGTCGTCCGCTCGCAGCGCTGCCCGTGAGAAGGCCGACGGGTGCGGCGCAGGTTGCCCCGCCAGCACAGAGTAGATGCGCGCCGCTGGCTCAGCCGCTGTGGCGCTGCGGAGGGGTGGGTCAGGGAGGGGGGTGTGAAGAAGAGGGAGGGGTTTGGGTGAGTGCGAGATGGTCAAGGCAGGTGGGGTGTTGAGAGAAGAGAGAGTGCGGCAGAGCAGGGGAGGGGACCAAAAGAGGGAGTGATTGCAGTGTGAGTGAGCAAAGCAGCGTCCCTCTGCCTGCTACCCTCCTCCTCAACCCCTCCTTCCCCTCCCCCCCCACCAATCTCACCTGAGCTGTGCAAACCGCTGCACCGCTCTGAACCGCTTCTCCATCTCCTTCTCTATTGCCCTTCTCCGCTCCTCCCCCACTGCCCCACTCGTCCCCTGCTCCTCGGCCCCCACAGCAGCCCCAGCGGCAGCAGCGGCAGGGTTGGAGGGAGCAGAGGGCGGGTGGGCGGAATGGAAGAGCCCTGCGTGTGTGAGGCACGGCAACAGGTCGCTCCACTGGCACAGCTCTGCCCTCCCCCTGCCCCCACCGCCCGCTCCCTCGCCCTCACCCCCTGCCATCCCTGCCGGCACCACCACCTTATCACACTCGCACACCTGCACTTCCCTGCTCTCCCCTGCTCCCTCCACACCCCCTTCCCCACCCTCCCCTCTCGCGCTCTCCCTCTCCCCTTTCCCCTCACCGCCACCCTTGCTCTTGCCCCTCCCTCCTGTCCCCCGGCCCGCCCCCTGCGAGAGCAGGTGCAGGCCGAGGGCGAGCTTGCAGCCAAGCAGGGCGGCGGGATAGAGGGGGTCGGAGGGGAAGGGCAGGGGGAAGGCGCGTAAGGGGGAGAAGGGCAGCAGCGCGAGCTGCGCGTAGCAGGCGCGGGGGAGCCCCACCATCACGTCCACCACCGCCACACAGGGGGGTGGGCAGGGCGCAGGGGGGGGAGCAATGGGGGGGGCGTTGGCGGATGTGGTGGGGGGCGCAGGGGGCCGGGAGGATGCGAGGGCGCAGGGGCAGGAGGTGTGGGGGAGGAAGAGGGGGAGGGGCTGCGAGGGGTGGCGGGAGGGAGAGGGTGTGTGGGAGGGGGAGGAGGCGGCATGGTCCCTGTTGAGGAAGGCGTGGGCTGCCAGGGTGGCCAGGTACGGGTCCTGCTGCACTGCCTGGGGGGGTGGGTAGAAAGGGGGAGAAGGTGGGGAGAAGCAAAGATGGATCAGCAACAGGGGCGCAGAGCGGAGTGGGGGAGAGTGGGGGCGTGCTGACTGGGCGGGGGCACGTGCACTGACCTGTGCTGCACGAATGGGAAGGCGACACCTGGCGGTGTGCACGGCTGCCAGCGCAGAGCCTGGGAGCCCTTCCAGGCGGCTCATCACGGCGCGATGAATCTTCTCAGAAGCTTCCGTGGGCTCGTCGGCACTGCGCACGGCGGCCAGTGCGGTGTGCAGCGCGGCGGGGCGGTAGGGCGGGCGGCGCAGACGCGGATGCACCAGATGCAGGCGACCCTGGGGGCAGAGAGGGGAAATGGGGGCAATGGGGAACGGAGGGGTAGGAGAGGAGAGAGACGTGTGGGGCGGATGGGAGGAGGTGAGGGGTTGGAGTGGCAAGGAGGAGAGCAGGGAGCAGCGGCGAAGGTAGGGGGGGCATGCGGCGCGGGTTGGAGAGAGAGGGGGCGGACCTGGCGCAGGAGGAGGCGGTTGCGCGCACAGGAGGGCGCCACCCACTTGGGCAGCACCGTGGCCGCCTCGATGAGCACAAAGTCCCCATCACCGTCGCGCACTTCCTGGGGGTGTGGGCGGGGACAGGGGGGGTGCATGCATGGGGAGATAAAGTGGGCAGGGCAGAGTGGAGCAGCGAATGGGAGGCGTGGTGCCAGACCAGGGCTGCTAGTATGCGCATGCAGGCGCGCGGGGGGGGCACTGCCATGGCGGACGAGGGAGCGCACGTCACGGGCGGAGCGGAGGGAGCGGGAGGGCGCACGTGAGCGCGCGTACGGATGGAGAGGAAGGGCAGGCAGGCGGAGATGCGCAGCAGCAGCCACACCACCACCCACTCGTCCTCCACACTCGCGCCGTACTGCGTGCGCCCGTATAGGTGCGCCGGCACGCTCACCTGCCCCCGCTCCCCCCCACGCTTATCCGCTCCTCCTGCACTGTCCGCCTTCTCCCCCTCATTCCCCTCCCCCTCGTCCCCCTCCTCGTCGTCATCCTGCAGACCCCAAGCCACGTCGTCGTCCCTGTCGCGCCATCGGAACGGCGGATCCTCCTCCCCCTCCCCCTCAACGCCGCGCACCGCCTGCTCCGCCGCGTCTCGCGCGAGGGGCGGCGCGGGCCAGAGCTGGAAGGGGTCGCGGTTCCACCGCATGTCGCCCGCGTGCCTCGCCGCGATGTCGAGGCACGCCACGCGCAGCGCCTCCAGCCCGCGCCGTACCGCCTCGTCGCTCTCCGCCGCCTGAACCGGCGCGGGGGGCGGCAGCTCGAAGGAACCCAGGTCGGGGAAAATGGCGTACTCGACCGTGTCGTCCCGCCAGCCCTGCGCGCGCGCCTGGCGCAAGATGGAGTGGATGCCCATCGCGGGGAGCTGCGGGGGGTTCTGTGATGGGGGAAGGTGTGTGCGGGCATCTGACGAAGCGTGACAGAGGCTAACACTTGTAGGGATGACCTAACTGTACGATACATAATAACCAATATCCACCGCTCAATTACATAAGGCGCATAATGTGTTGAAATTTGTAAAACATTACAAGAAGCTGGGTTCTGGGACTGCAGAGCTGGGACTTCAAATTCATGCTTTGAGATATTGCAATTCACCTCGGAGTAAAATATATGGTTCAAATCGGCATTCAAATGTTATATCCTGCATTCGGTTGGGGTGTACTGATCCGCATATATTCGTTTCCTCTGCGGCCTCGACGTGATCGTGACGCTACCTCGATTTCTTCCGCCTAGAATTGCTGGTTCTGTGGATGCTGCAGGTTGTCAGTCAGTCTGCACTGCACCATCATCGCCCATCGCCTCGCCGCCCGTGCCAGCCCACCCGCAGCATAAGCTAGAAGCTCATTCCCCTCTCGTAGAACTTCCATAGTCATTCCAAGAACAACAGTTGCCATCATTGGGACTCCTTTCACATTACTTGTCTGTTTCGTCCCGCCACTCCGTATCTTGTCGATGCGCCTTCGTTGCATGTTCCCGCAATAGTCTCGCCGGGCGTCGTTGCTGCAACGACGTGCCCGCGTGCTTCCGTTTTCTAGTGCGGCTTGTCGTGATCGCCATCGCGATCGCACGGGCTGCGAAGAATGTCGGAGTCGGAGAGTGATGAGGTGGTGGTGAGTGAGTCCAGCGACAACGAGTGCGACGACGACGACAGTCTCGACGAGGATTATGGCGGCGACAACAGTTGCGACGAGGGGGGGGACAATGACGGCGACGACGACGGCGATTGGAACGAGCAGGAGGGCAGCTCGAGCGCAGAGGAGGGGGCAGGGGGCCGGAGGAAGCAGGGCAACGGCAAGGCGGCGACCAAATCAGCGGCGACCAAAGCAGCGGCGACGAAAACAGCGGCAGCGAAACGCGTGCAGCGAGGAGCGAGCGGCGTGAGGAGCGTTGGGCGGCGAGCGAGGGAGGCGAAGAGTGAGGGGAGTGGCGACGAGGAGCCGTCAGTGGCTGCCATGAAGGCTGCCAACGTGGCTGCCGTCCTCAGGTGAACCGCTGCCTCAGGTGAATAGCAGGCTCAGGTGAATAGCAGCGTCAGGTGAATAGCAGTGTCAGGTGAATAGCAGTGTCAGGTGAATAGCAGTGTCAGGTGAATAGCAGTGTCAGGTGAATAGTTGTCTTATCAGGTGAATAACAGTCTCAGGTGATTAGGTTTCTCAAGTGAATAGCTGTGTCAGGTGAATAGCTGCCTCAGGTGAATAGCTGCCTCAGGTGAATAGCTGTGTCAGGTGAATAGCTGTGTCAGGTGAATAGCTGCCTCAGGTGAATAGCTGCCTCAGGTGAATAGCTGCCTCAGGTGAATAGCTGCCTCAGGTGAATAGCTGTGTCAGGTGAATAGCTGCCTCAGGTGAATAGATGTTACTTCGTCGTCCATTCCCAATTCCTCTGTGATCTCCCTCCTCTGCACTCCCCCCAACCCCTCTGCGCACCCCCCAACCCCTCTGCTTCACCCCCCCAAATCTCAGGGGCGACGTGGAGGTGTGCAGGAGGGCGCTGTTGCCGCGCATGCTGTCAGTCTCACAGGACGCGGCTGTGCTGCGCCGCCCCTTCAAGTCGCCGTGCCCTGGTGCCACCACCAACGCCTCCCCCGAGCTGCTCCGCCGCCTCGCTGCATGCCGCCGCTTCGTGGCGTGGGGAGGGGGCGTGCACCGCCGACCCCTGGTCATGGCGCCCGCGGGGGACCAGGGCGAGGGTCAGGACGCGGAGGACGGCGAGGCAGAGAAAGGCGAGGAGGAGGCGCAGGCAGTTGCGGCAGCGGAGGCGGGGTACGAGCCACTGGTGCTGTGGGTGCCGGAGGAGGACCCGTTCCACGCGTGTGAGCAGTCTCAGCCCATCGCCGTCGACCCCATCCTCGCCAAGTGCCTCCGCGCCCACCAGCGGTGCGCTCACTCCACTCCATGCGCCTCGCTGCCACCCAACTTATTCCCAACAAGCCCGCAGAAATCATCTGCTGCCCGCTTCTGCTGCCTATTCTTTGCATGACTATGTGCATGTGTGTGTGTGCGTGTGCTGCGTGGTGTGCGGCGGTGGCAGGGAGGGAGTGGCGTTCATGTTTGAGTGTGTGGCGGGGCTCAAGGACTTCCACCAGCAGGGCGATGACGACCCAGGCTGCTATGGCTGCATCCTCGCCGATGACATGGGGTAACGCCCTCCCCACCTCCCCACCTCCCTCCCTCCCTCCCTCCCTCCCTCCCTCCCTCCCTCCCTCCCTCCCTCCCTCCCTCCCTCCCTCCCTCCCTCCCTCCCTCCCTCCCTCCCTCCTTCCCTCCCGCCCTCCCTCCCTCCCTCCCTCCCTCCCTCCCTCCCTCCCGCCCTCCCTCCCTCCCGCCCTTCCTCCCTCCCTCCCTCCCTCCCGCCCTCCCTCCCTCCCTCCCTCCCTCCCTCCCTCCCTCCCTCCCTCCCTCCCTCCCTCCCTCCCGCCCTCCCTCCCTCCCTCCCTCCCTCCCTCCCTCCCGCCCTCCCTCCCTCCCTCCCTCCCTCCCTCCCTCCCGCCCTCCCTCCCTCCCTCCCTCCCTCCCTCCCTCCCTCCCTCCCTCCCTCCCTCCCTCCCTCCCTCCCTCCCTCCCTCCCTCCCTCCCTCCCTCCTCCCCCTCCCTCCCTCCCTCCCTCTCTCCCTCCCTCCCTCCATCCCTCCCTCCCTCCCTCCCTCCCGCTGTCCCTCCCATGGGGCACGGCAACGCCATGCACTGTACACACTCTTCTGCCTCCCTTCTAATCTCATCTCTTCCCATCTCATCGCATCTCATCGCATCTGAACCATTCTCCCTCGCCCGTGCATGGCCTGTGCGCCATCCCACCCGGCCAGGCTGGGCAAGACGCTGCAGTCGATAGCGCTGCTGTGGACGCTGCTGAAGCAGGGCTTCCAGGGGCCCAAGGGGCCGCCGCTCGTGCGGCGAGCGCTCATAGTCACGCCCACGAGCCTCGTCAGCAACTGGGCGGCGGAGCTCGACAAGTGGCTGGGCGGGCGCGTGCGCTGCGTGGCGCTGTCTGAGGCGAGCCGCGCCGAGGCCCTCAAAGGCATCCAACAGTTCCTGGCTCCGCGCGGCATGCACCACGTGAGTACAGGGCGCATGTGAGGGAGTGAGAGAGTGGCAGGGCGTTCAGCATGTGAGGGAGTGAGAGAGTGGCAGGGCGTTCAGCATGTGAGGGAGTGAGAGAGTGGCAGGGCGTTCAGCATGTGAGGGAGTGAGTGGCATTGTTGTGCCCTTGATGAGCGCCGGCACGTGGCACGTGGAAGTGGGCAATGACATGAGCCATGGTGCGCGTGGCACTATGACCCTCCCCCCCATGGCAGGTGCTGATAGTGTCGTACGAGACGTTCCGCCTGCACGCCACGGCGTTCCAGCACGAGGGGGCGTGCGACCTGGTCATCTGCGATGAGGCGCACCGCCTCAAGAACGACCGCACCCTCACCACGCAGGTAGCCGCCCATGCCACGCAGGTTAGCACCCTCACCACACATGTGAGCAATCACCACAGCTGATCTCCCAATTCACGTGCCCGCAGTTCATCTCACCACCGGCCTGCCGCTCTGTGTCCTTCATCCTCCTTCCATCCATCCTCCTCCTCACGCCTTGCTTCATCCGTTCGCTCCCCGCCTCCATCCCTGCCCCCTGGCGTGTCCCCTGTGTGTCCATCAGGCGCTGGCAGGACTGCCGTGCAGGCGACGAGTGCTGCTCTCTGGCACTCCCATGCAGGTGCGTGCCCCATACAGGGCCATGCCATGTCATGCCATGCAGGTGCGTGCCATGCCATAAAATGTGCGGCTCTGCTGTACTGCCCCTGACTCGCCCTTAACGTAACCGCACAGTTTCAAAGGCAGTTGCAGGGTGATGGGTAGCGAGGGATGGCACTCCAACAGTTGCCTTCACGGATTACCCTCTGCTCTCGGCCTCATCCAGATCAACAAAGCACACGCCCTCCTTCCTCCTTCACACCCCCTCTGTCCTCGTCCCTCTCTCCTCTTCTCATGCCGCATCCCCGTGGTGCTGTGCGGTTTGGTGTGGGGGGCGGTGCAGAACGATCTGGAGGAGTTCTACGCCATGGTGTCCTTCACCAACCCGGGCGTGCTCAGCAACGCCGCCCACTTCCGACGCCACTTCCAGGTCCCACCTCCCCCACGTCCCACCTCGTCCTCTGCACTGCACTACCAGTTGGCCCGCTTCTATTCCCCCTCGGCTCCCTTGCTCTTCCCTAATTGCTTGCTGCCATGCTGCACCCATCCCATGCTGGCTATCAGCGAGTCGTGTCGTGCCTCGACTCCTCTCACACTCAATCTCACACCGCCCGCGCCTGTCTCACCCTCTCCCCGCGCTGCCACCTCTCTCCACCACGTCATCTCATCACCCATGGTGGCACGCGCAGGCGCCCATCCTGGCGGGGAGGGAGCCGCACGCATCGGAGGAGGAGAGGGCGCTGGGGGCAGAGCGATCTGCGGAGCTCAGCGACCGCGTCAACCAGGTGGGGGGAGGGTGGGGGCGCGGGTACACACAGAGGGTGGTAGACGCGTGGGGGATGCAGTGGAGCCACGCGCCCATCCGTGCACTTGCTGTCAGCGCTGCCATGCGCCCACTTCTCCTCCCTCCCCCCCTCTAATCGCCTCCCCTCCTGACCCCTACCCGCACTTGCCTGTGTCCCCTGCCCGTGGGCGCCCCGCAGTTCATTCTACGCCGCACCAACGCGCTCCTCTCCAACCACCTGCCTCCCAAGGTGTGCTCCTCCGTCCTGCCACCCCCGTTGGGCTTATCACCCACCTTGCACCTGTGAGCGCGTGTGCGTGTGCGTGTGTGTGTGTGTGTGTGTGTGTGTGTGTGTGTGTGTGTGTGTGTGTGTGTGTGTGTGTGTGCGTGTGCGCCCCTGGCAGCACATCCACCACCTCTTTCTACACCTCTTTCTACCTGCACGTCTCTCCTAATCTCTCCTGCGGGTGTGTGTGCATGTGCATATGTGTGCATGTGCATTTGGGTGTGCATGTGCATGCGTGTGCATGCGTGTGCATGCGCGTGTATGTGTGCATGCATGTGCATGCGTGTGGCAGATAGTGGAGATAGTGTGTTGTCGCATGACAGACCTGCAGCGCCAGCTGTACGAGCGATTCATGCACTCCAAGAATGTGAGCTGCTTCACCTTCACCCACCCCAAGCCCATCCATGCGCTCTTGGACCTGGGGTTGGAGGCATGCTAGGCCATGCTCCATGATGCCTGCCTGGCGCTCATATGGTGGTCATTCCGTGCATTGGCATGGCATGGTATGGCTTGGCATGAAATCGCGTGTGTGCATGGCATGGGAGCATGCAGGTGCGCACGGCACTGGAGGATGGGAAGAAGGCGCGGGCGCTGGCGTCCATCACGGCGCTCAAGAAGCTCTGCAACCACCCCAAGGTGCGCGGGTTTGGGGGGGCAATTATTCCAAGGTGGGTCAGATGGGATGAGTAGGAAGCAAGCTGTGGAAGGTCCACAAGTCATGTGGTCGGTCTCTCTCAAAGCATGCGCATGGAGATGTACAGGCGTGATGTGAGGTGATGTGAGGTGATGTGGCAAAGGCCTCTCCTGCTGATGTGCGGCGACCTGCACATGCCACTATGCACATGCCACTATGCACATGCCACTATGCACATGCCACTATGCACATGCCACTATGCACATGCCACTATGCACATGCCACTATGCACATGCCACTATGCACATCACCACATGGATTCACCCAGCACAGCCCCACGTGTCACCTCGTCCCTCTCATGCTGCCCACTCCTCCACTAATCAATCATGTGCATGGCGGGTGCATGGGGGCTGGGTTGGGCGTGCGTGCATGCATGGCGAGCAGCTGCTGTACGACTCCATCAGGGCAGGAGGGGCGGAGGCAGCTGGCTTTGAGGACGCTCTCCCGCTCTTCCCACCTGAAATGTTCAATGGGAGGTGCGTACCTAGGGGCATCACAGGTTGCAATGCTATGCTGGTTGGGAAGAGGCCCCTCACTCACATCCACCCATGCTTGCGTCATCCCTGTCACAATCACTCTCAATGCCTCTCCCCCATCCCCTCCACCCATCGTTCGCGCTGCACCGCCTCTTGCACCGTGTGGTAGCAGGAGCGGCACATGGACGGGGGGCGGTGGCACGTGGGTGCAGCTGTCGGGCAAGATGGTGGTGCTGGCACGGCTGCTGGCGCACCTGCGCACGCACACCACGGACCGCATCGTGCTCGTCTCCAACTACACGCAGGTGCGTGCTCCCACCACCTCCACGCCACTGTTGTTGCCCCTTGAAACCGCCATGCTCGCAGCCCTGCCGGCCACCAACCCGCCTGCACGCCACGTCCGCCCTTGCCCCCTCTGCTGCCCTCACTCTTCCCCCTCCATTTTCTCCGGGCGGCAGACGTTGGACCTATTTGCGCAGCTGTGCCGGGAGCATGGGTACCCCTTCATGCGGCTGGATGGAGGCACCTCGGTGGGCAAGCGGCAGAAGCTCGTGCAGCAGTTTAACGACCCCCACGCCGTGAGTGCAGCAGTTCAACGACCCCCACGCCGTGAGTGCAGCAGTTTTCTCACATCCCTGCTGCACTTCTCACATCCCTGCTGCTCTTCTCACATCCCTGCTGCTCTTCTCACATCCCTGCTGCTCTTCTCACATCCCTGCTGCTCTTCTCACATCCCTGCTGCGCTCCTCACTCACATGCTCCTCACATTTGTAGGGAGGTGCTGTGATCTTTCTCTTACAGCTCATTGGTCCGTGTTGTATGCATGTGTGTTGTATGCATCCGTGACATGGTGTGATATATGGGTTGTGGCATGTTACATGGTATGGCATGGCGGGGCATGGCATGGCAGGACGAGTTTGTGTTTCTGCTGAGCAGCAAGGCGGGGGGGTGTGGGCTGAACCTCATAGGCGGCAACCGACTCGTGCTCTTCGACCCCGACTGGAACCCCGCCAACGACAAGCAGGTGCTCTGGCAGCATAAGCATTAGAGGGACCGGTTATTTGGTGGGCCTCGGCAACTAGGGGGGATGCGTGAAGTACGGAGCAAGTGGCTGGCAGGTTGAAAGTTCAGAGTCCGTGCAGCAGAAGAGTCAGGTTGGCCGGAAGGGGCAGGCGTGCAGGGTGGCAGCAGAAGCACAGCCATGCACCGTGCTTGGGTGGTGAAGTGTCTCCTGTCCACCTGCTTCTCACCCCGCCTTGCCTTTTCCCCATGCGCCATGCGCCCTGCCACCATGTGTGTGGGTCGCCCCCCTTGCCCATGTGTGCGACGGCAGGCGGCGGCGCGCGTGTGGAGGGATGGGCAGAAGAAGCGCGTGTTTGTGTACCGCTTCCTGGCAGCGGGGACCATCGAGGAGAAGGTGAGCGGCAGCGTCAAAGAGAGGTTGAGCGCCCTGCTCGTGAGGCAATTGTTCCTCGTCCTGTTTGAGCCCCAAAGGCTTGGTTGGCTCTGAAGCATGGCGCTGCTAATCCCTTGTGTTGCCGTGTGCCGCCGCTGCTTCTGTGTGTGCGTGTGTGCATGCATGGGAGGGCTCGCAGGTGTTTCAGAGGCAGATGGCGAAGGAGGGGCTGCAGCAAGTAGTGGATAGCGAGAAGCAGAGCGAGGGGCGCGCCCAGGTGAGAGAGAAGCAGAGCGAGGGGCGGGCGCAGGTGAGAAGCAGGATGAGCATACGGTGTACTAGTGGTCTTTCCCCTTGCACAATGATCATGCGGGGCACACTGACAATGTTTGTCATGCCACGTGATGTGATGTGGTGCGGTGTGGTGTGGTGTGGTGCGGTGGCAGGTGAACCTGCTGTCAGCGGAGGAGCTGAGGGACCTCTTCATGCTGCGCTCCTCCACCCTGTCAGTCCCCTCCTGCTGCTCCCTTCCCTCGCACGCTTTGCTACCCTCCCGTCACACGCATTGTTGCTCTGCATGGGTGATATTGTGAACGGCTTGCATTGCAACAAGGCATGGCATGGCATGGTGACATGTGAAGCGGGTGGTGGGCGCAAGGCGGTGTGGTGCACGTTGATCATGTGCGCTGTCCTCCTCCTCCTCCTCCTCCTCCTCCTCCTCCTCCTCCTCCTCCCCTCCCCCCTCCGCAGGTCCGACACGCATGACTCGCTGGGGTGCCAGCGCTGCCCCTCACGCCCCTCGCTGCATGCAGCCGGCAGGGGAGGCTGCCACGTGGGGGGACAGCATAAGGGCGGGCAAGGTGTGGGAAGGGAGGGCGCAGGTGGTGGTGGGAAGGGGGCGAAGATGGAGAGGCGAGGGGGAGGGTCTCTAGAGGAGCTGGCAGCTGCGGCTGCTGGGGAGGGCGAGGGAGCGGGACAAGGAGAGGGAGGAGGAGTAAGAGGAGGGGAGGAGGGGGGGGATAGGGAGGAGGGGTCAAGTGGAGTGGAGAGTGGGGGCAGGGAGAAGGCAGAGGCAGAGGGGAGCGATGAGGAGGATGTGCAGGCGGGGCGGGCGAGCAGTGGCGGTGGGAAAGGGGAGGGCGAGAGTGACATTGGGGGCTTTGCGGAGGTGGCAGGGGTGGCGGGGAAACTGAAGGAGTGGGAGAAGCAGGTGAAACTGAAGGGGTGGCGAGGCTCTGATGCTGCTCACTCGTGCTGCTCACTCGTGCTGCCACCCGGCAGCTTTGCCATGTGAGGGTGGAGTGCCGTGATCCACATGTGAGGGAGTGGAATCATGCCATACCTTGTTTCCTCCACTTCGGTTGCTGTGTCCATGTGTGCGTGTGCGTGCGTGTGTGTGTGTGTATGTGTGTGTGTGTGTGTGTGTGTGTGTGTGTGTGTGTGTGTGTGTGTGTGTGTGTGTGTGTGCATGCATGTGCCAGGTGGGTAACCCATTGGAGGAGCAGCTTGACCAGTGGGCGCATCACAGCCGTCCATCCGCAACTATCCCTGACACGGCATTACAGAAGGCAGCCTGTCTCGATGTAACTCATCTCACCACATTGAGTCTCAAAAGCTCTTGTTTCCACATGCGTTTCCCACTTTCCCATCTGCGACAACCTTTACTTTCTTCCACATCCCATGGCTTTTCCCTTTCTGCTGCTGCTGCACCCTCTTTCCCTTCACCATGCCACGCTCCTCCCTCACACCCTCCTCAACACCTACCACGTCCGTTCCTCCCCCACTACCCCCCGGGCGTGCGTGCATGCGGCACCATGTGCAGGTGACGTTTGTCTTCTCCTGCCAGATCCGCGGCATGCTCGCCCCCATCGACTCCGCCCCGCCTCCCTCCACCCGCCCCTCTCACCGCCCCCTCTCTCGCTTGCCCACCCGCCTGCCGCTCCGCCCTGCTGCTGCGGTGGGTGCTGGGATGGCAGCAGCAGGAAGATTGGGGGGAGGGGCACTGGGGGGCCGGGGAAGATTCGGCATGAGGGGCCAAGGGTGGGCAGTAGGAGCGAGGCAATTAGGGGGCCAGCCAAAAGTCTGTGCAGAGATGGGAGGAGTGGTGGGGAGAAGAAGAGGAAGCAGTGAAGGGAGGAGAGGAGTGGGTTATTATGCAGGTGAGGCAGGTGTGGAGTTGAAGGAGCAGGCCCCAGAAATGCATGTCGCTGCAACTACAGCAGAAAGAAGTCCCAACCCCGATCAAACTCAGGGAGGTACACCCGGTACAGTTAGGAGGCCGCGCACGACAACGAGAACGCGAAAGAAAAACACGGTTGTGCCTTCACCAGACGTGCTTGAGATTATTGGGGCCAAGAGAATGAAGACAGGGAGTGATGATAGTAGTTTCTCACCTACTCTTTCAACCGATCAAGAAATAGCTGAAACTGATATTGCTTGCCTCAGTCATGGGAGCAATGAATAGTAATTCTAACATACAGCACTAAATACCTGGCACTACAGTTGAGCAGGAAATCGGGTACCTTGTAAGTGCTAATCTTTGTTGTGAGAATGGTCATTATTGCCCTTCCTAACATGATACCTTTCTAATATTTTCCCTGCAGTCATCTGAATGTAGTGCGGATGCAATGTCATCACGCAAATGTTTGTTACAGTTTCTTCAACCAATAGAAATACTTGGAACAGTCTCCGAGTGAAGCGTCGTGCTAGTGTTCCAGCTGACGGGTACTACGATGATTGGCCAAATTCAAGGTAGCGAGAATCATCTTTTCGCGAATTTCGGATGCTGTGGACTCAGTTCACCAGAGAAGCAAAGCTTCCGACGACGAACAGCTCTCGAAAGCCAATGCTCTGTTTGCGAACACTCCAGAGTCAAGAACCTGGGGCTCAGATTTCTCATCGCGACTGTGCGCGAAACTCAAGGCCCAGCTCAGCCAGCTGTTGGTGGCGGGAGCTTTCGTCATTGGCGAAGCCCTTTGACAAAGGCTCCGCGCACGCGAATTATTAATGACGGATTGGATTGTCGTCGTGGCGAATGGGTGCGCTGTGCTGGTGGCGCCAGATTTGACGCGGATCCAACGGGGACTCGCTCAGTGGCACCGCCCACGCTGCGCTTTAGTGATCCAACTTAGTCAGGCATGCCACGTAGACCACCAGAACTTTCCCCCACCTGCCGCCTCGATGTGATCCATCGTCCGCCTCCCATTCAATTCGACGCCAATCTCCTCCCACCAAAATTCCTCACCAGATCCAAGCAGCCTGTCTGCCTTCCCCTGCTCTCCCCTACTCGCGGCTCGCGCGCTCGACCTCACCCTGCCTGATCAGCTGTGACCAAGCCACGGCCTCCCTTATCACCCCTCTCTCTCGCTTATGGACTTGTTAGCAGCACGCCATCAGCTTAGATTGACAAGACAGAACATTGCGTAACATTATTCAGGGAAGCCATTTTAGAGATAAGATTTAGAACAGCACCTGAAGGATTGTACGGTTTGCGGTGGCATCGTGGAAAACGTGAGAGCGCGATCCGGCCGATCTGGTTGATGAGCCTTCTCCCGTCGGGCTGAGCTGCCCGCGACGTTGAGCCAAGGCCACAGGCCGCGCCAGCACGCCAGCGACTACTTGTACAGCGATTCCACACTGGAACATCCACCGCAAATCCGGCGAGCCCCAGCCATTGATTTGGAGCGCCAAAAGCGGGCCATTCTTCGTCCCCACCAGGCCCATCCTGCTGGTGCACGCCCCGCCCTACTGCTTCTCTGGCTCGCTGCTCGCCACTTCCCTTGCTCGTCACCACACGATCATGCGACTAATATCACAAACGTCACAGTCGCTGCAAAGCGGCGTGCGACCCGACCTCTCCAGGGACTCCGTCGCTGGAACTACCCATCGCCAGTCGCCGTCGTGCCTCGCCGCCCTCCGCCCTCTCTCCTCCAACCTCTCCCTTACCGATCATCGCCCGCAGCGCGCCAATGCTCGCCTCGTTCCCGCGGCGCAGCTGGCCCATCACGTGTCTCCCGCGGACGCGGCAACCCATCGCGCGCGCTGCTCGCGGGGACCAGTCGATGCGGGCGCGGGCGAGCTCGGCGCTGGCGCCTTCACTGCTGGCGCTGGGGGCTTCAGAAGTCGGTGTTGGCCTTTCATTGCGCCGTGCAGAGCGGCGGATCTAAATGGCGCCTTGTGCGCTGAGCGCGGGAGCGCGGCGTTGCGCCAAGCCTGCACCCGCGGTCGGCCCCGCACACGGCGGCCTCACTCCCACCGCCTCCGCGTGCAGGCGGTGGCGGTGGAGCGAAGAGCGCCAGCCGCGGGGGCGACTGATAGCGGGCTGCATTGGCCGTTGGCGGGAGGGAGGAGCGGAGGATTGGGATCGGGTGCAGGACGGAGCGGACGACGAGACGGCGGCGTGAGCAGCGGGCGGAGCGGAAAGCGCAGGGAGCGATTGCCGTTCCTGTCGCCGCCTCGAGACGACGACGCTAGGGCTGGCGACAATGCCGACCTTCGCAAACAGATCGTTCAGTCAGCGCCGCGTGCGACAGTGGACGAGTTGGCGTCGGCTTCCCAGGTGAGCGCGCGGGTGATAGGGGTTTTGGGATCTAGCAGTAACGTGCGTTTCGTGATCAGGCAGCCATGTGTCAGCGGTGGGTTAAGGAGCAATGGCAAAGACGAGAATCGAGAGGCTTCCGAGGCAATAATGGGAATCCATGACAAGCCATGTAGCAACGTGACACACACGATGCGCGAGTGCGCTCCACAGATGTTCGCGCATCCTCACCTTCACGACACTCGTTCCCTCCCCTCGTCGTCTCTCTCTCCCATCTTTCCCCCCAATCGCCCCGCTTTCCCCCACCATCCCACCTGCCTAACCCGGCGCGGGCGCAGATGGCGCGGCTGTCCGCGCTGGTGTACCACCGCGACCCCACGCCGCACGTGAGCGCCTTGGGATTGACGCTGCGCGCGTGCCAGCAGACGCCCTTCACGGCGTACATGGTCGTCGACTCGCCGCCGTGCCCGCGCGAGGGCGGGCGCACGCGCTACGTGATAGCGCGCGGCGTGGCGGTGGACCGCAGCGAGGTGGACGTGGGGCGGCTGTGGCGGCAGCTGCTGCAGGTGCGCCCCGTGCACCTGGAGCGCGCGCTGACGCCGCCGGGCGTGGAGCTGCTGGTGCATGGCGGCGTGCACGCCATCGCGGAGGACGTGTACCGCGGCGTGCTGCCGCTGCTCGCCGCCGACATGCGCCGCGAGGGCATCACCCACCTGCGCTTCGGAGGGCACTCGCTGGGCGGGTCGCTGGCGCTGCTGCTGATGCTCATGTTCCACCTGCGCGCGCCCAACACGCGCGCAGACGCCTCCCCCCTACACCTCTCCGCGCACACCTTCGGTTCCTTCCCTGTCCTCGCGTCGCTCTCATCCTCGCCCTCTCCCTCCGCCCCGCAAAGCCTCTCCCACCAGTTTGCCCATGCGCCGAGCGACCTCTCCCGCCTCCTCGCCTCTGCACACGCGCACCCCTCCTCCCCCCTGCTGCACCGTGCTGCCGGCCGCCCTCCCACCGCTCACACCACCGCCTCATGGCCTCACATGGCTTCGCCCCATCTGCATGCCCCTCCCCCCGGCCTCCTCTCCTTCCCTCATGCACCGCTGCTCCACCCCTCCTCGCCGTTCAGCAGCAGCAGCAGGGGTGCAGCGCGGTGCAGTGTGCTGGCGAGTCTGGGCCTACCAAGCGAGGCGGCGAGGGCGTTTGTGTTGGACCGCGACATCATCCCGCGCGCCTTCCTGCTCGCCCACCCCCTCTGCTCCGCCTTTGCCCGCACTCCCCTGCTGCGCTCGCTGCTGGGCCTGCACCCCTCCACCAGCGCCCCACCGCTCTCCACAGGACTGTCCTGGGACCCGATGGCCTTCCAAGCAGTGGGCCTCGTGCACTACATGCAGGCAACAGGTGCTGCACACACACATCACATGCATCACTCACTCGTCGTGCCCACTAGTCTTGCATCGCAAAAACACCAGTCAAGTCATTACAATATCCGCTAGTCATCTGCTGTAACTACAATGTGTGTTCCCCCATTCCCCCCTCCCATTCCCCGTCCCCTGCTGCCTGACCTGCATGGGTGTGGCCTGCAGGGTCGGAGTCGATGGTGGCGAGTCTGCCGCCAGCGCTGGCGGAGAAGGCGCTGGCGATGGGCGTGGGGGAGCTGGTGCGCGACCCTCTCATGCTGGCGCGCTCCATCCGCGACCACTGCTTCAACCACTATGTGCACTTCCTCGAGTCTGCGCTGCATGCTGCCCGCCATACGACACTCGACTGATGTGTGCGCTCACTGGCTTGTATTTATGGATGCGGTGTTGCATGAGGGCTCCCATCTAGATGGAAGAGAATTTTGTGTTGCATTGCACAAACCTCAGATTTTGCACAAGATACAAACACATTTGGTCGAAACTCTGCAAGGAGTCGCAATATGCTGTATTCAGCTCCATTAACTTGCAGTTTCGCTTGCCAGTCACTTGATTTTCCACACAATACGGTATGCCAGCAAATTGGATACTGTGTTTGGCAACTGCATCCAGTTTATCAGCCCAGAAAGAACAAGGTGAAGCAAAAATATTACCGAGAGAAGTTTTGGCGAGGACGCTATCAGCCCAAATATTGGTTTGGTCGTTCTGGCAGCGCTATCCGAAATGCATGCGGAAAAAGGCAACTTGCTTGCCTTCTGGAGAAGGCCAGTGGCCAGCACCGATGCAACCAATTGCGAGCGTCGTTGAGTTAACCTCGGCGACACTGTGAGTGTGGGGCTATGCAAGCCAACAGGGTGAATCGCTCCTCTCAAATAGATTAGTACAGTGCACGTAATGTAAAGCTTCCTGGACAAGAGAGTGGGACGGTGTGTGTGGTAGGTGTATCCATGTGCCCCAGATACCTCATGCGTGCCCATGTGAGCGAAATGGGTTGAAAGTGAAGGCTGCTGGCGATCTATACTGAAACTGCCCGAACTGAAATTCGGAAAAACATCCGTATGTGGAGCTGTTTGGCGGTAGGCAGGCCCAAGTCGTCGTGGGCAGCTCTCATCGATCCACGCCCGCAATACAAGAGGAGAGTCGAGAGCGGTGGGCACTTAGAACCAAATACTCCACCGCGCTGCCCTTTGGACGCCGCAACACAAGCATGCTGATGAATTGCATCCACCAACCGCCTAATAGCTGCCTCCACACACCGTCGTAAAACGTTCCCCTCCCTTGTCCGAGCCATGGTGACCGCCGTTGACGACGACTACGTTGGATTGAGAACGCACCGGCATTTTGCTTTCGCACAAGGACGGATTTTCAGCAGCAGCGAGCAAGTTACAAGAGAAGTCATGGATCGTCTCTGGCACGACCGCACGGGATGGGCCTCCTCAGACCCGGCGACAGCCATGCAGGTTCGATGTTTCACACACTGAGCGCTCTTGACTGTGCTGGTGACATGTTAATTGTCTAAGCGAGAAGGCTACGTGGTACACCACACGAGCACTCCCCTCATGCCGCCTTCCTGTGCGCTGCTGCTCCCCTATCTCTCTCCCGCCTCTCCCCGTTCGCGCATCTGTCGCAGGACAGTGTCGCGCAAGACGGTGCCGTCGCATGCTTGGATGACGGCGAGCAGGCACCGCCTGGCAAGGCGGCGATATCGGCGGCCCGTGATGGGCCTGCCGCGCCTGCTGTCGCCACGAATAACGGGGCGGAGGCTCCACCTCGCGCGCTGTTCCATCCGATCAAGGTGGGCCGTCGGGGATTCTTCAATCACCCTTTGCTCACTCCTTTCGCCGAATCGCGCACGTCGATTCCCCGTTCACGTATCATGCCCCGCCCTGCCGTTCTGCCGACGTCAGCCCTCTCATCTCTCCGTGCGCTCGTCGCGTCGCAGGTGGACGACATGCACGCGGAGATGGACCGCCTGCGACTCGAGCTGTGGGCGGCGCGCATAGAGTGCAGCGAGTTAAGGGCTCAACTAGAGGTGCGTCAGGCAACGCTGCCGTGCCGTGCGGTGCAGTCCTTGGTTGGTCCCGCCGTGATCATCACGCCGGTGACTGCCTTTCGCCCTCCCGCCTCGCCCCTCCGCCCGTCCCTTGTAACCCTCTCCACCCCTCCTCCCCACCTGCCTGCGTCCCACCCCTCCGCGGCGCGGGGCGTGCAGGCGCGGTCGGAGCGCGCGCTGGAGGAGGAGCGCCTGGCCGGCGCGAGGAGCGCGCGGGAAGAGGCGCAGCGGCAGGTGGAGGAGGCGAGAGGCGAGGCGGCGGCGGCGAGGCGCGAGGCGGAGCGCGCGAGGCGGTACCACGAGGAGGAGGTGGCCGTGCTGCTCGGCGCGCACCGCGACAAGGAGGCGCTCTGGCAGCGCAAGGTAGGGGCAAGGTAGCCGCGGGGGAAGAATGGTAGCCGCAGGGGGGAAGGTAGCGGGGGGAAAGAAAGGAAGCCGCAGGGGGAAAGGTACGGGTGAGGGGGGAGGGGAAGGAAGAGAGGGGAGGCATCCGCAGGGGAAAGTTAGTCGCATGGGGAAAGGTAGCCGCATGGGGAAAGGTTGCCGCATGGGGAAAGTTAGTCGCATGGGGAAAGGTAGCCGCATGGGGAAAGGTTGCCGCATGGGGAAAGGTAGCCGCATGGGGAAAGGTTGCCGCATGGGGAAAGGTTGCCGCATGGGGAAAGGTTGCCGCATGGGGAAAGGTTGCCGCATGGGGAAAGGTTGCCGCTTGGGAAGGAAAGGTTGCCGCATGGGGAAAGGTTGCCGCATGGGGAAAGGTTGCCGCATGGGGAAAGGTTGCCGCATGGGGAAAGGTTGCCGCATGGGGAAAGGTTGCCGCATGGGGAAAGGTTGCCGCATGGGGAAAGGTTGCCGCATGGGAAGGTTGCCGCATGGGGAAAGGTTGCCGCATGGGGAAAGGTTGCCGCATGGGGGGAAAGGGGGAGGAATCCGCAGGGGGCAAGGTAGCAGAGCCCGTGCGTTGGTGAGCGTGGAGTGGGTGGTGGTGGGTGCGGCATGGCATGGCAGGACAGGGAGAGCACCGCAGGGCCCGCGTGCAAGCAGTGGCGTCATGCATGCGTGACGCGCAGTCCCTCCTAGCGCATCCGCGCACGCTGTGCCTCTTCCCCCCTTTGCCTCTTCACATGCGCCTCACCGTCCCTCGCTGCCTCGTTCGTTATTTCTCTTGCCCTATGTGCGCCCATCCCCCTGACTAAAGCGTCGATCCCCCTTGCCTGTGTGCGCCCATCCCCCTGACTAAAGCGTCGATCCCCCTTGCCTGTGTGCGCCCATCCCCCTGACTAAAGCGTCGATCCCCCTTGCCTGTGTGCGCCCATCCCCCTGACTAAAGCGTCGATCCCCCTTGCCTGTGTGCGCCCATCCCCCTGACTAAAGCGTCGATCCCCCTTGCCTGTGTGCGCCCGTCCCCTTGTCCGTCTGTGTGCGTCCATCCCCTTATCCGTCTGCGTGCGCCCAACTCCCTGTGTGTGCGCGCATCCCCTTGCGTGTGTGCGGCAGGAGGTGGAGTTGGAGCACGAGCTGCGCCACCTGCGCCACCGACTGGCCGACGCACGCAACGGTCAGCGCCTTCACCCTCACCTGCGCCATGCCTTGCCTCCTCACCCGCCCACCACGCGCTAACCCCCCGTGCCCTCACGCTGCCACCACGCACCTGCCCTCCTTGACTGCTCATCCCTCCCACGCCCGTTCTTCCCCCCTCCCCGCCCCCTCGCGCATCATACCTGCAGCGCTGTGTGTGGCGGAGGCGTGTGCGCAGGGCGCGCGGGAGGAGGGCAGCAGCGCCGTGGCTGTGCTGCGCGGGCAGCTGGCGGGGGCGCTGCGGGCGGCGGCGGAGCGGGAGAGGGAGCAGGAGGAGGCGATGCAGCGAGTGGATGGCGAGCTGGCGCGGCTGCAGGGGCAGGCGGACGCCGCCGCGCATCGCGAGGAGCTGGCAGCGGCGCTGATCGACCGCCTGCACGCCGACAACGAAGCGCTCCGAGGCGCGCTGCTCGCCGCCCAGGAGGGCGCGCATGGCAGCACGGCGGCGGGCAGGGGGCGCGTGGAGCAGGAATGCAGCAGATTGCAGGCAGCAAAGGGGGAGGGTGGAGTTGTTGGTGAAGGGAAGTCAGTGCAGCGGGTTCCAGGAGGAGTGGTGCGGCGAGACGTGCTTCAAGCCAAGGAATCTCAAGCCCCGCATCCTGGCAGCGCTCGTGACGGCGGTGGTGGCGGTGGTGGTGCTGCAGAGGATGCAGAGGAAGCAAGGTGTGCGCGTGACGAGCGGGGTGGAGCCAGTGGGGTGGGCGGTGGGCAGGCTGCAGCCGGTGCACGGGGGTCAAGGGGAGCAGGGGGCGCAGAGATGCAGGCGGGCAGCAGGGAATGGGGGGAGGGGGGTGCGCATGGTGGTGCATTTGAAGGGAGAGCGTGGCCGAGTGCGGTGGGCGGGGAAGAGCCTGAAGGTCCACCGGAGCAGTGGCATCAGAGCGGTGGCAGTGAGCAGCGTGCTGCAGACGCTGGCAGCGCTTGCGGCGTGGAGGAGCGGCGTGGCGGCGAGTACGAGTCGGCGTTCACGCTGCCGGTGCCCCGGCAGGGTGCGTGGAGTCGCGCCAAGCAGGCAGTGGCGCAGTACTATGGGGGAAGCGCGGGCGAGGAGGGCGAGCAGGAGCAGCGCGAGAGGGAGGTGGAGGAGGTGCTGGAGGAGAACGGGCGGCTGGAGGAGCTGGTGCGGGCGCTGCAGGCGCAGGTGGGAAAGGCACAGCGCGTGGTGGCATGGCAGGGTCGGCTGCGGCAGCGCGTGCTGCAGCTGCGCGTGTGTCTGGAGCTGACGAGCAAGGTGGTGGACGTCAAGGACCGCGCCCTCGAACTCGCCGTGCACCGCGCCCGCGCCGCTGAGAACCGCTGCACCCACCTCGACCGCCGCCTGCACCTTCTGCTGCCCGCCGCGAGCTCTGCTGCCCCCGCTGCCCTGGTTGGCAGCTCCCAAGCTGCCAGGGGGGCAGATGGCTGTGGGGACATTGCAGGGACTGGGCTGCAGAGAAGGTGTGCAGTGGCGGAGATTGAGGCTGTGGGCGGGGATGCGGCAGAGGTGCAGCACGGAGGAGAGGCAGGTGCAGCGTCAAGGCATGAGGAGGGGGGTGCCCAGGAGGAGGGCAGCCCGGAAGGCGCTGAGGAGGGGGCGGGCGCAGCAGTGGTGGAGGCGGGTGGTGAGCAGCGGGTGGTGGCAACGGTGTCCACTGGCAGCTCAGGGCGGGCCGGCATGCGCCGCAGGAGCAGGAGCAGGAGCAGGGGGCGCATGCAAGGCGGCAGTGAGGCGAGTGGAGAGGAAGAGGAGTGGCCGGCGGTGGGGCTGAAGGAGCTGCAGGCGAGGCGGGACGTGCTGCTGATCGCCATGCACGGGCTGAGAGAGCGCGCAGCACTGGCTGCGGAGATGGGGCTGCGAGCGGCAGCGGTGATGGGGCGGCAGGGCAAGGACAAGCGTGCAGAGGTGAGCGAGATGCTGGCAGCGGTGGAGGGCGAGGCTGACGAGGCGCGTGTGCTGATTGAACGCACAGAGAGGGTGGTGGCCCGCATGGCAGCACTGGAGCGAAGGGGAAAGGTCCTGGAACGCAAGATGGAGAGCAAGCGGGTCAAACTAGTCCATTTGGAGAACAAGTTTCACCTGGCTCCCAAGCCAGTTGGTGTTAAGTTGACCTGCTTCTCGTGTGGGCTGAGATTCATATAGTGCCACGTATTGTGGAGTCATGATGTCAAATGCATTCACCATCACAATATTGCTCAAGCGGTTTTAAGAAACATTCCGTACAATGCCCAAACATTCACTGTAAAGCATCTTGTTAGACAGTATGGGGTTAACGCTACTGCCCAGGTACAGAAAGATTTACCGTATGCTGTTGAATGGCTAGAATAGAAAGGATTACGGTACCTACTGTACACCAGGCGTTATGGCTGTCGGTCAGGTGCAATGGAATGGAACCACTGAATGCGCCTTTTTTTATTCTACCGTGTAAATTCCTCTCATCTGGTGGTCCGAAACTCCGACTTAGTCACGGAACCGGTAATCATATGTCATACTTATGAAACACCTGCATACCCACATCATACAAAGTATTGTGTTTGCTAGCTATAACAAATCATTTATTTGGAACCAAATTGTGGACACTCTGTTGTGGGTCAGCCAACATGCACAGTAGAACCTGACACATCTGACGCATTTGCGAAAGTCCGTTCGGCCTTTATCTCCGATACTCAGATTTCGCCTGAGCTCATTCTCAGGTGTAATCACTAACAGAAGCGCATTTTCTCGATATAGTATGAATCTATTCTGTTTCGTATTTGTGTACAGTCACTCAAAAAAAGGAATTCAAGCACCTGCAAAAAAATATAATGCCCGTAGCGAACCTATATGATTTCCGGGAAGGATCAGCCCTAAATACCGAAAGCCTCCCAATATTTTGGAAAACATATTGCAACCCACTTGACAAAAAAAAAACCCACCTCGGGAAGGGATGCGACTCGGGAGGCATCAACCCTAAAAATAATACCTATTTCCGTGTTTAGGGTTGACCCCTCTCGAAAATGCATCCAGGTCCCTAGGGGTTTTGATGTTTTCTGCCATGCCCGAATAGGTCTCGGTAGCATCGTCCAGTGCTTTCGCTAGCGTTGTTTAGAGGTCGGTTGCGCTACTGAGCACTACCAAGTGAATTATATGGGCTTCATTCTCTTACTACCTTAATTTCCGTACATATATCCTAGTGACTGGATGGTTTTGTTTTTGTCACTTCCTAGTGAGTTCGACCAGCGTGAGAAATGTGACTAAAAAAGCGACGACCAATCAACGTTGAGAAACTCCAGGTTGATTACATATGAGAACGCGCTCAGGCGAAATCTGAGTATCGGAGATAATGGCCGAAGTCCGTTGGAGTGGTTTGGTTCGCGAAGTGGTGGCGGGCCTCACACCGCTTGGTTGGGGGGACTGTCCCAGCCTGGGCGGGTCGCGAAACAGACGCGAATGCGATGCGTTGCGAAGTGACGGGATTCCAGCAGGCAGGGCAGGCGGGATGGAAGAACTTTGGGAGACCGACTGCCTGTGCTCACTCGCTCTCAGTTGAATGGTAGCCTAAGGAGTAGCTCCTTCCTCATGCCACTGCTCCAACACCCCCTCGAGTATCATCCCTTGCTTTCTGCTCCCTCTCCCTTGGCCTCTCTGCACAACCTCTCCGCCTATGCCCTGTGCAACACCTTTGCGATTGCGGCTAATCCACTAAGAGGACGATAACCTTTGTAGGTCGTTTGGTGTGGGTACCTCGTCCTGTAACGCAGTCGAGTCGAGCAGTGGTACACGGTACCGACACTAGCGAGCGTAGGATCCGACGGGTGGCGCAGAGCGAGCAACGCGGTGGATGACGATAGGCGGAGTATGGACGCGAGGATGTGTGCGGCTCGTTGTGCTTCTCTGCGGTGAGGCTGCTCGTGCATGGCACCAGCAGCGCCACCAGCATGCAGTGTCCACGCTGCCGAGCCCTCAATTTTAGGAATTGTTAATACGTCAGAGAGATTTCTTCTAGCTCCCGTCGCAGGCGCTGTGACTCACGCGTGCCTTGCTTGCTGCCCACCAGGAACCATGGCAGCCTCCGCGCTGCTGCCTGCTCACGTCACGCGCTTCGAGTCCGTGCCAGGGCTTGCAAGCTGGAATGCCGCCACGCGTGTGGAAAACATATCGCGGGTGTCCACGTGGCAGGATGACCTGGACCGCCTGCCGCCCCTTAACTCCACCAATCGCCGTCGACTCGCTGGTAAGCGACTGCGCGTGAATGTTTCGCCTTCCCGATCCGCGCATCGCGCATCCGTTTCGCCCCAACCACATCCCAATAGCTGCGACTGAGCTTCTCTGTCCCCGCTGTGCCTTGCTGCACATCCCCGTACTCCCGGTGCCTTGCAACGCATCCCCGTCCCCCCTGTGCCTTGCAACGCATCCCCGTCCCCCCTGTGCCTTGCAACGCATCCCGCGTCCCTCCTGTGCCGTGCTGCGCGTCCCCGTTCCCCCTGTGCCGTGCTGCGCATTTTTCTCCCCTGTTTTCCCCCCTTCCTTGTCGCGCTTCCCCGTGCCTTAATGCGCTGTTACTGCGACCCGCCGTTCCCTAGGTGGGCCCCTGCTGCCTTGCTGCCGCTTCCCGCCGCACCGCGCCGCAGCCCCCGCCGATAGAGTGTTTTGTATTCACTGATTACGCTTGTGTCGCACCCTGCCCCTGTGCTTGTGCGCCTGCAACGCGATTGCGCCGTGGGGAGGGCGTGTTTGTCGCATGACGCGCAGCGTGCGACTACACGATGGGGCGGTGGGTGTACGACGCGCGGCGCCGGTCGTACAGCAGCAAGTGCGCGTGGATCCGCTCGGCCTTCAACTGCGAGCGGAACGGGCGGCGCGACACGGGGTACACCAAGTACGCGTGGAAGCCCAGCGCGTGCACCGTCCGACGCTTCGACCGCGCCTACTTCAAAGCCTTGCTCCGCAACAAGGTCAGCCGCCTCGCCCCATCATGCGCTCCCGCGCTCAACCTACCAATTCACTTGATCACCCTCGCCCTGTCCTTTTCTCCCCCCCTCTACCTGTTCGCCCTGCTTCCGCCACCTGTCTGTCACAAACCCTGTGTGCCGCGTCTGATGTGCGCCCTCCGTGCGTGCATTTGCGCGAGCAGGTGGTGGCGTTCGTGGGCGACTCGTTTTCGCGCAACGTGCAGCAGGCCATCGCGTGCGAGCTGGGCGTGGACGACCACGTGGAGCCGTGGTCGGGGTGGCTGGGCGGCACACTCGTGTCGGGGCTGGCCGTGCCGCGCTACAACCTCAAGCTCGTGGCCGTGGTGGCGCCGTACCTGGTGCGCTACAGCAACCAGGACTGGGCGTTCAGGCAGTATGGGCTGCGGCCGGGCGATGGCAGCCGCTACGTGGTGTGGCTGGACCACATGGACGACCAGTGGGCGGCCGTGCTGCAGCACGTGGACCTGGCTGTGTTCATGTCGGGCCACTGGTTCCTGGACAAGCAGGGCGCCGAGGCCGTGCGCTCCACCGTGTATGTGGCCAACAACCGGGTGGTGCGGTTGAGCGGCATGAGCGCGTACCGCGCCGCCATCCGCAGTGTGAAGCGGTTCGTGACCGTGGAGCAGAGGTACCGTGGCGTGCCCATGTGGCTCACCTACTCCCCCTCCCACTACTCGAGAGGTAACCCCCCCACATGCCGCCACACCACACCCATATCTACGAAGAGAGTTCAAACCATGGTGGCCCGTGACATCTCCACAGCTTTCAGAAGGCTGGAGGTGAGGGAGCTGAAGAAGTCACCCTTTCGAATAATCGACATCACCCGCATTTCCCTCTTCCGCCCAGATGCACATGTGAAGCGTTTCTATGGAGCCAAGACAAACAGCAAAACAAAGTGGGACTGCACCCACTGGTGTTTACCTGGACTTCCAGACGTCTGGGCCGACATATTCCAGTTTGTTCTCAAAACGCAATTGAGACGACACAAGAAGTAACATAACCATCAATTGTTCAATTTGAGGATGTTGAGACTTGTATCTTTGTCGGTAATTGGCGTTGTCCACTGATCATGGGCAGTTACATTGTATTGTACTCTCCAACTCTTACAGCAGTACCAAATGTGATGTGACATTGTACGCCAGCAAAAGCTACCAGGATGCAGGAGAAACTTTGCAGAGAGGTTGTTAAAAAGCCAGACCAGGGTGGCCTTTTCTTGTTTCATTACTAATGAGCACGAGTGGGAAAAGGTAAACCAGTGAGGGATGTTCGAGCAGAGTGACAATGAAAACTCTTACCGTATCGCCCCGGATATAACCGCAGGCCTGTGTTAAGCGCATGCGCTTCTATCTGGAGCAATGCGCTTATGGCCGATCCTCAATTAGAAGCGCACCCTCTAAAATAACCTTACTTATTATAAGCGCACCTTGCTGTATAGACAAGAATGTCTGTTGTTTTTTTCACTTTTTATTTACAACCTTCGTACAAACTGTTGGGCTGAGATAGCCCCTTAGGATCTTTGCAAGGGATAACTTTAGGTGAAGTAGTTGTAATAGCAGAAGCGTTTAGTGAAGAATTTGAACCGACCTTGCACTGGTGTGTGAGAGCAAAGTTGATTGAATTAAACAAGCAAATACAAGGATTTATATAAGAGTACAGGGAATACGAATAGATATGTAGATAACTGTATTGCTGTTGCGGTTCGATACAGTGCGACTCGGGCAACTGCTCTGTAGCGAGTCAGTTGTGTGTCCTTAACTGTCGCGCTGTAATTGTCGAGTCAAAGGTCAGCGACCTTTGACTTTCTCGTAACCTCCAGGCGGTTACCCTAACCTCCGAGGTTGACTCGATGCTCCGATTGGGACTGCTTCGCTTGGTGCCTTGGGTTTTGATACGACAGAAGCGCACTTAGGACTTATTGTTTCCAACACTCCCCTTCGCTTCTGGAGTGTCGCTGCTGGTGACGTGGCCTTGTCCAGTCAGCATCATGCAGTATTCGAACTTCTGCTTTCCGAGTTTCTTGGTCAAGTAATCGGCTGCCATCTCGGATGTTGGGCAGTATGACAGATCGAGTTTCCCCTTTTCTATCTCGTCCTTCACGAAGAAATAGCGCAGGGCGATGTGTTTCGTCCTGTTTGCGAAGCCGTTTTTGTTGGCGATGCGAATTGCTGACTGGTTGTCGCAGAACACGGTGAAGCTGGGTAACTCGGCTAGCTTCGCTTCTTCCAGTAGTTCGCGAAGGTAAAGTCCCTCCTTGGTGGCTGAGCAGAGTGCAATATATTCTGCTTCTGCTGAAGATAGTGCGATTAACTCCTGCTTGCTCGACTGCCAGGAGATAGGACCGATAGGCTCAAGGCGGTAGACATAGCCGGTGCGTGAGCGCCTGTTGTCGGTGTCGCCGGCGTGATCGGCGTCGACGTAGCCGATTAGCTTAGTTGGTGTAGCTGCGCTCTTGTGGTAGGTTAGCCCGATCGTCGCGGTGCTGACGAAGTAGTGGAGAGCGCGATCAAGTTCCGCCAGGTGTTCAGCTTCAGGCTTCTTGAGATAGGTGGCGAGCTGACTTGCGGAGTAGGATAAGTCAGGGCGGCAGGTGACGGCGGCGAATAGCAGGCATCCGAGCTTCTTCTGATAGTCGCGTATGCCGGCGGGCTTGAGTAGAGTAGTTCGTTCTTTCTCGGTTCCTGATGTATAGCGGTAAGGCGTGGAGATGGCGCTTGGTGTGAGGCTGAAGCGTTTCGCGATGGTGTCGGCGTATTTCTCGGCGCTTAGATAGATGGCGTTTTCTTCTTCGCGGATGTTGAGCCCGAGGTACTGTGTAACGGTGGAGGAGACCGTGAGCGTGAGATCTTTCTGGAGCTCTCCTTCGAACCACGTGGCGATGCCGTCGGTCGACCCAATGTAGAGGAGATCGTCCACGTAGACGATCAGGAGAACGTAGTCGCTTCCCTTAGTGAGGCGGTACATGCCTTGGTCGTGAGGTAGTTGACTAAAGCCGATGCGGATGAGACGGGCGTGTAGGTACTGCTGCCACAGTCGTGGTGCTTGCTTGATCCCGTAGAGCGACTTAAGTAGTTGACAGATTCGGTTGGGTTCGCCGTGGGAACCGTGCGGGAGCTCGACGTAGATTTCTGCATCCACAGGTGCGTAGAGGAAGGCATTCGCTACGTCGATCTGCCGTAACTTCTTCTTCTTCATGGCGGCAATGGCGAGGAGAATTCGGAGTGACGTGTGGCGGCTGACTGGAGCAAAGGTCTCGGTGAAGTCTCGTCCTTGCTCTTGGTCGAATCCACGTACGACCCAGCGTGCTTTGAATTTTTCGATCGTGCCGTCTGCTTTCGTCTTGATGCGGAAGACCCATTTCCCGGTAAGGATGGTTTTGTTCCGTGCCACGCTTACGGGAACAACCTTCCAAGTGTTGCGTTCCTCTAATGCCTTCAGTTCTCTATCCATGGCTTCACGCCATTTCTCCCTGTGTTCCCCCCCCAGAGCCTGCTGAACCGTTGCAGGCTCCTGAGGAAGCGAGCTGCGTGTGTTCCCGTGGACTGCGGTGACGAGGCCGAGGATTTGCAGCCCAGTCTGTGAGTATCGAGGGAGTTCTGGATCCTCGGGATAAGCTGCTTCGTCTCCCGCTTCTGGATCAGGGATGAAATTCGGTCCTATCCTTTCTGCTTCATTTGTGTTGACAGTTGCAGGTGTTACGTAACCGGTGTCGGCGAAGTGGTAGAAGACTTCGGCGTTGTTACTGTCGCGAGGATTTTCTTCGTCCATGGGCACGTTGACGGAGCAGTACGGGAGAGGTCCGGCTTCTGCCGATGCGTTGTCAACATTCTGCTCGTCCCAGTCTGCTTCATCCGCTGCTGATGCGAAGGCTCGGTCACCACGAAAACCACTGGTGAGGTCCCGATTCTCGTGCAAGTTGGCGAGGTACGTCTGAAGGGTGAGTCTTTCGTAGAAGATCACGTCACGTGCTGCTACTGTTTCCTTTGTGTGGACGTCGAAGATTCTCCATGCGTTGTAATTTTTCTCGATGCGAGGTGTAGTCCCCACTGTGCCCGTTGCGAAAATCTTCCCGCTCGTGCTTCTGGGGGTCTGTACTGTACCATGCACCCGAAAACTCGTAACATTTCGTGCTGCCCTGCTTCCCTGTCCACAGCAGATGCGGTGATGCGTTGTTCGGGAGTGACGACGACGACAACAAGTTGTGCAGCATGACAGCGTGGTCCATTGCTGCTGGCCACTGGTGGTTGGGTAGCCGCATGCCACGTAACAGTTTGCGCATGCTGTTCTGCAGGGTCCTGTTCAGTCGTTCTGCAACACCTTGCTGCTGATGTGCGTAGGGAAGGGAGAGGAGTTGCTTGATCCCCCTTTCCGCCAAGAACTGCTTGAAGCGGTGAGAGGTGTACTCGCCACCTCCGTCTGACTGGAAATTTTTCAGTTGTGTTCCAGACTCTCTCTCTGCTATCGGTAGCCAGGCGGCGAATGCTGCGAGTGCCATGTCGCGGCTGGGTAGGTTGCGATGCCAGACGTATCGAGTGGCGGCGTCGATGAAGGTGATGGTGTAGTTGTAGTTGACTTGTCCTGGTTCGCGATTGTAGAGGATGTCGCTGTAGACTTTTTCGAGTGGTGCGTACGCTGGAGCGCTCGGGTTGTGATGTGAAGCAAACGGTCGATGAGGTAAGTCAGCTTCGGGACATATAAGGCAAGTCCCTCGTGCCTTCTGGAGTTCTCTGCCATCGGGTAGAAGTAGAGAATCTTTGTCAAGGACTCCTGCTCTTATCGTGTTATTCAAAACCGTGTTGCTTGGATGTCCTGTTCGTGCGTGCCAGATCTCTTCAGAGGCGCGGTGTCCAGGTGAACGCTGATATGCGTCGGAGTTGGAGTAAAAGCTGGCGACGAGGTTGGCGCTTCGGTGGACTTCTCGTTGAGTCGGATTCAGCTGTTGTGCGGGTGTTGGTGGTGCTTCGTTGACTGTGACTGGTGTCGTTGTTTCTGCTGCTGCTGATGTTGTTGCTGCTGCCGATGTTGTTACTGCTGCTGATGTTGTTGCTGCTGATGTCGATGTTGTTACTGCTACCGATGTTGTTGCTGCTGATGTCGATGTTGTTACTGCTGCCGATTGTCGAATTGTTGCTAATGCTCGTGTTCGTTCTGCTTCAGGAATGGTGTGCGAGTACCAGAAGCCTCCCGGGCTGAAGTCGGGGTCGAGATCCGGAGGGTGTGTCCAATCAGTGAAATTCACGATGGCGTCGCTGTCTGCAGTGCCGAGGTCAGGAACGAAGTCGAGGACGAAGACGTTGTTCTTCAGCACTGCTTTTTCCGATGTAGAGACCGCCTCTCCCGTGGTAAAGCTTGAACTCCTGGGTCGTGCTGTCGGCTTCCAGATGAATTCCTTTCGCCATCAACTGGCTAACGCTCAGTAAGTTGTAGCCGAGTCCTTCAGCGATGAGTACCTTAGACATGTGCAGTATGACGTTTGTTTCTCTTGACTGAAGTTGTACCACTCCTTGTCTTCGTGTGCGCAGGTTTGGTTGTTGGCAACCGTGATGATTACTTCCCGTTGGAGTCGATGTTCGCGTTGTACGAAACGCCCGGACGAGCACATGTGTTGCCCGCAGCAACTGTCCAAGAACCAGGTGTCTTGGCCGGACGGTTCACTTTGAGCGATGGCGGCGTACGTTGGATTCGGCTGGAGTAGCTCACGGCGAGGCGTTCTGTTGTCAAGCTCTTCTTCCGGTGAGTAGTGTGGTGGTGATTCGGTTTGTACA